CTTCGGAAACTCTGTAGTGTCTAAACTCCGAAAAAACTATTTGTTTCTCCGAATCGAAGGTTAAAAACACAAAAGCATTGTACACAATTTAAACCAATCAATATTGTGTAATTAACAAGGATAAACTGATGTTTTTTAGTGGATGAGTAATGGAGATCATTTGACAGTGTGGGGAATACTTCCGGTTTTATTATGAAAACTTCGAGACCGGAAATACTGTTTTCACCCACGCTAACTTTACATGGACGCTGCCCCATATACACGTTCTCCTGGCGAGACCTCAAATTATCTTCGTATATCTATCAAACTGTAGATCCTACACATCCACTGGACGTAGATTATAAAAGTACAATATACACTTCTCGCTAGAAATCTAATAAAAAAGCATTTTAATGGCCAAACTATTCCACAATTTAGGATTTTCCAGAGGGTAATTTGTGAATAAACGACCCTCCGGAGCGTTTGCAATCGACAGGAGCATGTTGTTTCTTACACGACCACTAGAGGTGCTACACTTTAAAACGTGACTCTGGGTCGTATTTAGCTGCTGAACAATCGACCTATATGGTCGTTTTTTGTAGGAGGACAGGCTGAAAATTAATAGTGGGGATGAGCATGAACAACAACAACAACAACAACAACAACAACAACAACAACAACAACAACATTTGCCTATTAAGCCTTAAACTGCAATACGAACATAGGTGTGGTTTTGAAGCTGTCAGTGTCTCACAGCAGCTGATAACAGTTGGAAGGATTTCTGATCTGAGCTGCAGATGTGTCACAGTGTCCGTCGTCCTGATGTCCTTCACCACAGTCACAAGGTTTCTGACCTATTTTTGGGCAACGCACGTCAGAGGAAGCGACACACACACACACACACACACACACACACACACACACACACACACACACACACACACACACACACACACACACACACACACACACACACACACAGAGGTGCACACACGGTATGAGAGTCTCCAGGGTTTTCGGTGCACACACTCAGGCTGGCAGCAGGACAACACAGCAGAAAGAAAGAAAGGCAGAGCTGGAGGAAGAGATGAAAAGGTGTTTTGTGGTCACGCTGAGCAGACTGTGTATTTAGTGCCAGATAACCTCTCCTCTCTCCTCTCTCCTCTGTAGTGCTGCCCGCTCACCACAGTAACCTCTCCTCTCTCCTCTGTACTGCTGCCCGCTCACCGCAGTAACCTCTCCTCTCTCCTCTGTACTGCTACCCGCTCACCACAGTAACCTCTGCTCTTCTCATCCATCTGCACCGCCATTCAATCTCCATACGCTGCTTCTCATTTCCCCTTTTCTCATATTTATTTTCACAAATCAGAGATGCATAATATATACAGAATATGACATATAAATATTAGGCTGATTATGGTGTATCAAAACTAAACTATTATGTATCATGACGGTTATAGTTGATACATTTTTGGAGAAGAAGAACAAGAAGGAGGAGAAGAAGAAGAAGACGGAGGAAGAGTAGATGGAGAAGTGAAAGAAGAGAAAGTAAAAGTATGAGTAGGTGGAAAAGAAGAGGAAGTATATGGGGATGAAGGGTGGATGAAGAAGAGGAAGGAGAAGGAGAAGAAGAAGTATAAGAAGCAGAAGGAGGAAGAATAGGATAAAAAGAAGAACAACTGGTTACTAAGACATGTTGCCAACAATGTGGACTTTTTTCTCAGTTTCAGAGGAAGACAACACAACTGCTACTGCTAGTTTTCAGATTGACTTGTCTATTAAAAAACGAATTGACATCTGTAGAGCCAGAAATGTTAAAGGGGACCTATCATGCAAAATGCACTTTTTTTGATGTCTTTTATACATAACCATGTGTCCCCGGTGTGTCAGGGAACTCACGCAGCGTCAGAAAATAAAGCCCTCTCTCTTTTCCTCCGTACCCAAATCTCTAAAAACGGGGAACAACGGAGCTGATCCAGATTTGCGTCCGATATGACGTAATATCGGAAATGTGGACCCACGGCCCAATCAGAAACGTTGTGTTATGGAAATCTAAAAACCCCAATACTGTAGAGTACAAGTCAAAGTGATCAAATAAAATAAATGGTGAATCAGACAGTTGTCTTTCTGGTGATGTTTATTCGATGACTCAAACAAACATCAGATACAATAAAATATATATATATATATAGACACAGGTCTCACAGAGTATAAAATATGTCTGCGCGAGTGTGCGCAGTTCAATATAGTTTTCAAGCTTATATTGAGGAAAGGGTGGGAAGGTAAGAAATCTGTTGCTATCAGAAACAATGCCCGACTGTTTTGGACGTAATATGGTCGGTGTTTACATTAGCATCGCTAACACTCAGAGCTAACCTGTACTGGAGAGCATGTGTGTGAAGAAGCAGGAAGTAAAAAGGAACTCAACTTGTGGTATAACCGGCAAGAGAGAAAGCCTTTGAGCTCCATACTGTTTCAGAGATAACCCTTGATAATCCATGATATGGCGTTTCATCACGGCAGTATTTAGTTTAGACGGTAGCTGCCGGGTCCCGCATGAGCTCAGACCCCTCCTTTTTCTTTCACATTTTAATTTTTTTAAAGCTTTATTCATAAAATCAGCACTTTTGAAACAGGAAGTGAAATAGAGGGATATGAGGCATGGCTAGAATGGGTGATCTGTTTGGTATTTTGACCAAATCACTTCATAGACATGTTTTTTATATATTTGTATATATCTGAGACCTATGCTATTGCCTAAAATAGCATGATAGGTGACCTTTAAGTGGTATTGTTGAAAACATTATGATATGATAGATGTCATGTACATTTGGTAAGGTCAGACCTATGGCAAAATAAATCCATCAATTATTTTTCACTTCTCAATTTTGCCTTTCAATTCTACATAAACTAAAATGTGAAGTTATCTGATATCTTATGGGTCATGAGGGGTAGTATCGGTATTAGAGAAGAAAATCTATATTGATCATCCCTCATTGAGATATATTGAGTTCCTCGTCTTGTCCAATAATCCTCTCTCCAGACAATAACCAGTTCACTGTAAACTGATTAAAAATTCAAATCTAATCCAACCTATCTGTACCTCTGACCATTTCCCCTTCATACACATTTAATTCACTTTCAATTAACATCCCTTCCTGTTTCCAACCAACTTTGTTCTTTTGCCTTTGTCTCTCTTAAACACCCCCCCCCCCCACACACACACACACACACACACACACACACACACACGCACACACACACACACACACACACACACACACACACACACACCACACACCACACACACACACACACACACACTCACACTCACCGCCCTCTCTGGTGTCACAAAGCGAAGTGAAAATGGTTTGCGTATTTCCTTTCCTCCAGGATTTGAAACCCAGTCCGCCAGGGGAGACATGATTTTGGATTATTAATGACTTTAACTTTGTCTTTCCCTCCATCATGTGAATAACGGGGGTCAACACATGAACAAATGGCCCAACAGTACACTGACGTAATGTGGTATCAGTGTTTATAATCGTGCATTCATTACTGCTAATGCGGCCGTAATGGCACGATAATCAGCTGACTAATTGAGTCATTACAGGGGAAGCTCGTGCTGTTACCCCCCCCCCCCCCCCCCCCCCCCACAGATGGCTTATGTCACTGTTAGTTATTGAGCAAAGGGTGCTTATCATCACATCCTATGATGACATGAGGAAGGAATTACTTAATCCTCTCCTGCTGGTCCCCATTAGGAACAATCAAGGAAAGCTTGTGTAATGCATGTGTTGCACACCTGGATACAAAAGGGACTTCCAGGCAGAGGTCGCGTTAACCGAATATTTTCCGTCTATGACGGATTTTTTTTAACAATGACGGACAAATCTGAAAGCAGTCCGTCATTTTGACAGATTAGAACAAACTCGGAACAGCGCCAAAGTTACCCCGCAGCGAGGCTCCGGTGTTATGCAGTGTTATGCATGCCCTCCAAAAAGGAAATTATACCGTTTTAAACTGTGCCGTACAAATCATTGAAATGTCTGTGAGTTTTCGCTTTACGCTGTGTACCCTCCTGCGAGGTGCAGCAGCCATGCATAACACGGCGCATGTGAATTGTCCCGTCCCCCCCTGTTGACAGTTCACGAGCAAGCTTCTCCCCCCCCCCGTCAGAGTTGTGTAAAGGCCGACGGGTAATTCTGGATTTTGACAGAAGATATAGTCTAGCACAACCTCTGCTTCCAGGTGTACATACGTTTAAAGGGGCCCTTCTTAAACTAAAGGCCCTTAAACTTCCCTTTGTGTTTTCTATATGTTTTAGTGCATGTAAATGGTCTGCAAAGGCTAAAATCCCCCCCTTCCCCCCCCCCCCCCCCCCCCCCCCCCCGCCTGAAACGCCTCCATCGGACTCCTTTGTTTACTTCCTAAACATAGTGATATCACTATGTAATATTCACACTTCTATTGGCTAGCGCATCAACATATTGCACGTGATTGGCTAAGGGGCGGGACTTCTCTAAGTGGTTGACCAATCACAACAAAGCCGGCCAGCTAACCAATCAGAGCAGACTGGCACAAAATACAAATATTTTGACTGACTAAAGGTTAGGGGTTAGCTAAAGGCACTTTTAAAATAAAAACATTTTACTTTGTTTCTGAAATACACAAACTCTAATAAATAATGCTTTTACCTCTTCTGGCTTTCACCTAAAGGACCCCAGAGATGCCCTCTGTGCCTGTATTAAATGTGGCATTGCACATGAACATATATCAGAACAAATGAAACTACAGTATATATAAAAACCATACCAAACAAAACCATACAACAACAACAACAACATATAAAGATGCCATTTGCAGGCCCAAAATGACTGTGGGTCCCACACCTGTAGTTTAATTTAAAGGGATTTTTCAGATCGGGGCAATTGAAATGTCCTCATTAGTGACATTTGTGGACAATTATCTTGAAGCTTTTCTAACCAGATGTATTTTATTCTTTCCGGTGCTTCTCATAGGAGCTGCAACCGGGAACATCTGATGACAGGACGTCTGTAACAAGTCATGCCTGCTGAAGAGCCTCATGAACAGAATCAGAATTCAAAACACTGAAGATCAAGCTGGATTAAGAAGCTTTTAAATTCATAACTGACACTTTGAGAAGCTTACCTTCTCAGACGATTCATTTTTCTACCTCTTGTTGCTTTTCCTGTGAAAATAAGCAGTTTTTTTCGAGTTCTTTGAGTGCCTTTTGATAGCTTTGACCCACATTTGAAGCACTTATCATGGAAAAACGTCGCATTTAGCACGCCACTTTTGCAAAAGTGGTGCAACTTTTTTATATTCAGGGTCGCTGACCTCTGGCTCTAGTTAGAAAGAAACACATGCACGTACACTGACACACACCTGGTGTTTCTGGCCTCTTGTTTAAACAGCTATACCCAATCTCCACATAAATCACAGAGGACACTGGCCTTGAATGCGATCTGACACGTGTTGTTTGCATTGTCTGAAAGAAGAGTCACGTCTCTGATTGAGAAGGAAAGCTATTGTGACACCTTGATAAACACATTAAAAACCTCACACACCGCCTCAGGGACGGTTACTCCGCTAAGTAAAGCCATAATTACACTGTTTAGTCACTTCCTAAAAAACATGTGGTGCTGAAAAGTAGTCCACGTTAATTAAAAAGTGTGCATGTGTCACATTGACAGCCTTTTCTGGGTCACGTCACTTTGACTGACCTAGATTTGAAAATACATTTGGAGGAAGATGTGTGTGCAAGAGGACAGGATACACACATTTTTAGATATAAACACAACACTATCTAACCTTGAAGATATCGTTTGCATTCTTACTTCTTATGTACTACCTAGCAAACCTTTTGTCTAGGCCCTTCACCCAAGAAAAAACACAATACAAACTTCTTATAAGACGTCTTTAAAAGTCTCCAGTTGATTTTCCTTCCTCACCACCCTCGATGAACACCTTCCCTTCCTTCTCCGCCCCTCCTCCCAACACGCCCATCCTCAAGTCAGTGTGTAAGCCGTGCCTTCGGGCCCCGTGGAGGATGAACGATGTTCCCACACTTGACTACGAGTTCCTTCTGTCCCCGGCCAGCTCCTCCCTCCCTGGCAGTGCTGGGGGGGGTAGCAGCAGCCCCCCCCTCTCACTGGGTGGCGTGGACAATGAGCAGCGCACCGCCCTGGCCTTCGTCGGCCTCCTCGTCCTCTTCCTGGTCTTCCTACTGGTCCGGTGCTTCAGGATCCTGCTGGACCCCTACAGCCGCATGCCTTCATCGTCCTGGACCGACCACAAGGAGGGGATGGAGAGGGGCCAGTTCGGTTATGCACTGGTTTAACGATGTGTGAACAGGAACATATTTCATTGAATCTTAGAGAGCTATTTAGATCTGGGAATGGATAATGCATAATGTTGTGAATGCACTCTAACAGGAGGGGTTTACTGTGTCCTGGTGTACAGTTTTAAAATGATGAATTATGAATCTGCAGCATAGGGTGACCAGACATCCGGGAAGATTCGGGACTGTACCAAATGATGAAGAGTTCTCATGTATCCTAACCTATTCGCCCCAAAACTTAGATTCAATCGAGGTGTGTTTTGCTATAGCCGAATACAACATTGAATACTTTGAAACAACTGATGTAAGAAGTACTCAGAACCTTTACTCGAGGGAAAAGTACTAATACGACAGTAAATATATACTCTGTTAAGTAAAACTGAATTCCTTTTTTTTAATTAGCATCAATTTATACTTAAAGTACCAAAACTAGAAGGCAAAAAGTACAATATACGCTTCCAAATTGTAGTGTAGTAGAAGTATGAACTAGCATAAAGTGGAAATACTTATGTAAGTAAATAGACCTCCAAATTGTACTTAAGTACTTGAGTACATTTACTAAGTTACTTCTTACCCTTTGGGGATTTGTTTTGGTGTTTCCCCTCACACATGAATTATGGCTTTCGTAGTTTTGTATAGCCTTGCACGGTAGATCTGACGTTTACTTGAAAATCTTCGGTGGAAATTAAACTTCCTTCGCTGACATGGTGCCAGCGAAATAATTTGAGCAACAACTGAAGGTACCGTTTTAGGAGGAAAATACCCAGAGATCATTGATGCCTTACATGATCCAAACAAAGTCATTGCAACGTCTGCAGGAAATGAATATACTATGATTAATACTAGTGTTCCTTGACACTAAATGTCATGTTCTGGAGGGCATTCCCAACTCCCCTGTTCCCTGAATTACACCCATTATCATCTGGTCACCCTACTGCAGGAAGAATAACAGGTTTGGTTAAACAACAACATGCACACAGCCCACTGGACTCCCTGCGAGACAAACCCCCAGATGTTGCACCATGAAGGACAGGAATAATGAGCTGCACAGCTGAGCCATAACCTGAACCTACTGTTCCCATCCAGCATGTCACAGCACCTCCTCAGGGCTAGGGTCTCCAAACTCCACAGCTTGCCAGTATTTAAAAGGAGTAGAACTTAAAGGGGACATATCAAGGGTAAACTCACTTGTTCAGTGCTTATGCAGATACATTTGAGTATCTGGAGTGCCTACACCTCTACAAACAGTGAAATAAGACAACCAGAATGTTATTTTGTGGGGTAGCTGCGCTTATAAAACATGACATTCAGATGTTGCTATACTTCCTATATCACATGGAGATTCATTAAAATATACCTCCCCAATCTGAGTACCTCAACCCACAATTTCAGGACAACCTTTGCAATTGTTGCACTAGCCAATCAGAACAAACTAGGCTTTTCCTGGAGTTGGTCTTAAAGAGACAGGCGCTAAAACGGCACATTTGAGACAGAGGGTAAAACATGTTTTTTAAAGAAGCCGATATGAGGAAAATAATGTGTTTTTTAACATTGAAGCATGTGAACATGTTCTAGTAGAAACCCCTTATACATGTATGAACCTGAAAATGGGCATGATATGTCCCCTTTAAATGAAAGAGTTTATTTTTCTTTGGGACTCACTGCAGTTTCATGAACCTTTTAGGCAGGTAGTTTGTGTCTCCATAACATGTTGTCAGTGTATATTTTGTGTGTTACTGTGTATGTAACTGAGAAGCCATATTACATCCATAATCTCTTATTACTGCAAGTAAAGTTTATGTTCACTGGTTGTGTGCTTTGCTTTGGTGAGCCTGCCACATTTGGTGATGAAGCAAACAGCAACCTTTAGGCAAGAGAAAGCTTTATTTTTCTATTCCTGACTCGAGTTTGGGGAGTCTCCTTTTTGCTATCTTTCTGTCCTCTTACTGTGGATTTCTGACGGAGTCATGCAGCCACGTCTTAGAAGGAGGATAAGCTGGGTTTTTCTTGTGTTTTTACATCTTTTTCTGACTTGATCTGCTTTGTTTTTTAAAAACACTGTCATGAATCAGTGAAAAAAAAACGTTATTCTACCTTATTTCCACTGGAAATTAAATAAATGATTGCTACTTATTTGTCACGTTGCCTCAGTTTTGTTACCAACACACACACACAGACAATTCTAACTGATTCAGAGGAAGTCGCTGGAGCCAGACATGAACGATGCAAAATAACGTGATTACGTCAAAGTCCAAGCAGACCCAGTGATCATACTGTTTGATGAAGGTTGCCACAGTGACGCAATTTCTCCATAGGATTTTGGAAAATAGCTCAAAATAAGGTCTGACTGGACAGGAAGGAGATGTCATTTCTAATCTGGAAGTGAATTACAAGTAACTTCTTCTTTTTTTTAAACAATATGTTTATTCATTTTTCATTATTTTAAACAAGACACACCATACCTTACAAATACTTACGACAACAAAGCATTAAAATAAAACAAATGATGTGATAAACAGAGACAAAGACAAGACAGGACATCATTACAAAAATTAAATGAAATTGAAATATAAAATATATAATACAAATAAGAGACATTAATGAAATGAAATTTAAAAATAAAATAAAATTGGGCAGTAGCAACATTATCCTAAAAAGTGTACATAGTCACAGCAGTTTAAGAAGTACTTTACTTTTCCATTCAACCAGATCGCTCTCATGGATTCCCATTGTTACTTCTTGGCATGTTTGACACATTAACATCACCTAACAGCTGAGTAAACGGGCCCCAAACCCTATCATAGGTTTCATTTTTCCTTTTCAGAATATACGTCCATAGAACAGCAATTACTCATTTCCCTACAAGTAACTTACGTGCTTACTTCACAAAATGTATTTGGTATCATTCGTCTGCTGGTATCTGTACTCTCTCTCAGCTTATTGTTCTATGAGTCAGGTGGTTCTCTCTCTCTGCTTATTGTTCTATGAGTCAGGTGGTTCTCTACTTATATGGTTATGTGTTTTTTAGTGCTGTCAAAATTATCACGTTAACGGCGGTAATTAATTTTTTGAATTAATTGCGTTAAAATATTTAACGCATTTAACGCATGTGCAGAATGGCCCGCCCCATACGTGCCACCAGTGGCAGCGCCAGGGTATGGCTGGGGTAGGCTACACCCATACCAAGAAATGGCTTAGCCCCACCATGAAAAATGATGTTAAAGTAAGCAAAATAAAGTCTGCCAACTCGCGCGGAGTAAATTGCACAGACAGCAGTTAGTAAGATTGATTTCAGTAGCCACGGTTTTGAAAACTTTTGTCACGTAGTGATCGTCTTCTCAATAGAACATCTTTGATAACGGCGTGGTGTTGTTGCAGGAAGTCCCGACGGAGAATACTTTTGCTGTAGTACAGGGGTACACATAACTGGTACGCAGGTTATGTGCGTAATCTCTCTGAAATGCGTACCGTCACTTGTGTCACAAAGCGCATTTGCGTACCGACGTAGGCTACTTGTGAAGCTTTTCCAGAAGATCACCGGACGACAGAGTCGGTCTCCGTGTGCACAGACAGGGCTGCTGTTAACGTCGGTCTGTACAACGGAATTGTACCAAAACTACGCCAACCGGCTGCGGAGGGAGACTCCCCCCCTTCACTGGAGAACTGCGCTAAAACAGCTGATCACAACGTTCACACTCTGTGGTCACGAAGTACTCCACTAGCCGCCGCCGCCCCCCCCCCCTCTGTCGACTTTCCTGAAGTACTCCCCCGTTGATAGAAATCAACACTGTAATGAATTAAGACCCCACGGTTTGATGATTGATAGGTGTGTGGGCTGTCTTTCATTTTGACACGCAGAAAAATGTTATAATAAACATAGATACTGTATGTTAAATGGATATATCCGCCTTCTTTCATTTATCTTTCCATTCCCACAACATTGATTGATTAATTAATTAATTTTTAAACTGTGATTAATCTGATTAAAAATTGTAATCGTTTGACAGCCCTAGTTTTTTTTATATGAATGTTATTACAGTAAACCCACAGGAAGCGACATGCGCTCATCCTGACTGAGTCACTGCGGAGAGGCGGATTACCGAGAAATGTATAAGAAGAAATAAGAGGCAGCAACTTTGAGGAAGTGACACATAGTGTGTCACAGTGACCAGTCTAGAGATTTACACGAATACAAGAGACACGATGGGACGAATTAAAACGGATAAAAATGTCCTCACTTCTTATTCTGCTGCTTCAGTTTACAGGTAAGGATTCCTACAACATATATATATATATATATATATATATTTAGAAACATTTAAAAAGGTAATTTATTCATCATTAATGTTACTTTATTACCTAATCTCATTTGAACCAAGACAGAGGTCTGTTTGTCTTCCAACGAGGGGAAGGCAACTTTAAAACACATATGGAAACTTTTGTTGTATCTTAAATTAACATTTGTATTTCTCTGTATTCTTTATATTTCTCTCTTGTTTATTCAGGGACTGCAATTGGACAGCGTGTCCTCTTCCTCTCTGTCAGAGTTGGAGATGAAGCCACTTTGCCGTGTAACTATGTGATTCATGATCAGGGTGAATGTGAGAGTACTACCTGGCTCTTCAGTGATTCAGGAAACTCAGTAGCGCTGGTTAGACGTGGGCAGATTGGTAACCATGCTAAATCAGACAGACTGAGAGTTACAGAGAAATGTTCTCTGCTTGTAAAGAAGGTCACAGAAGAGGATGCTGGTCTTTACACCTGCAGACAGTTCAGTTCAGGAGAAGAACAAGAAGGTCCAGACATTCAAGTTTACCTGTCTGTTGTTACCAGTGAGTATTTACATCATGATGTTTCCAAACTTTCTCTGTTGAGCAAAATACTAAAACATAACAATAGTTATTATTGCAGTGATGAAGTTAATGTTACTCTTGTTGTCTTTCTCTCACAATATCTCCATCTTCAGTGACTGGACATCAGGACAATGATGAGGTGACGTTACGCTGCTCGGTGAAGACATATGGAGACTGTGGACACACAGTGAAGTGGCTGTTTCAGGGTCGAGATGTGGATAAAGATCACAACGATATAAGGAGATCACAGTTCCGCTGCTCTGCTTCTGTGACATTTCCGACTTCTCATTTTAGTTACACACCAAGGTCTAAGTTGTTTACTTGCTCAGTAAAGGATGGTTCCAACGTGCAGGCCTTCAGCCTTCAGTCCTCAGGTGAGAACCAGCTGTTTAAACATAATTAACTCATATATTTGTACTTATTTTACAGATTTGGAGTTTAAGTATAACATCACAATATAAATTACCCATAAGACAGTTTGCAAGTGAAACATTTGTTGATCTTTTTTCATCTGTTCAGGTGAGGACACAGCAGCAACAACAGAGAGCGACTCCAGATCAGGTTTCACTACGACAGCTTCTGTAATCACTGAAGATGCAACAGGTTATTGTTGCATTATAGAAATTAGTTTAATTAACTCACTTTTATAACAACACTAGTCTTAAATTAAAGTAAATGATTATTGATTTATATATGAATATTAATTGATTACAAATCTTAAATCAAGGACTTTAAATTGGTTTGTCTTAAGGCCCGGACACACCAATCAAAGAACTGACACAGACGGACCCCGATGTGCCGCCCTGCCCTATCTGCAGTGTGCATGTGCGAGATGGTCCGCCATATTGGACAGCTATATGCCATACATTTTTGCATACATTCACAGTAAATAGTTATTCAGCTGTCTAACAGAAGTTAAATTCATTTCTCACTTATTCTGACAATGTACTTAACCCCAAATAAAAGAACCCAATAAAAAGAGTTGTTAAATAATAGTGAAGTCACGTTGTAATAAAAACAACTCCTCTCTCTCGAGTTTTCTTTTTGTGCTTTGCCAAAAGCCACTGTGTCAAGTGTCCTACTTGGGTTGCCGTACGGAGTTGACCATCTCGCACATGCGCACTGCCGACAGCCAAGTTGCACGTACGCACTGCGCATGCGTGAGTGGCAATAACTCTCCTTACCAGCAGGCGGCGGTAGTGTGTATTCGTCATTCAAAAGAGGCAACAACCGGAAGACACCGAGAGATAACTGAGAGAAGAAGAGCAGACTGCGTGATAAAAACAAACAACAAATAGCGTGTGCGTTCCATTTTCAGTCTACAGCGAGAAGCTCATGGGGCTTTCCCGAAGCTGTGTCGAGAGCTGGAGTTAAATGAAATCTCAGATTTGCCTTCTTAATAGTTTGTTTGGGTCCCTCACTTCCGTTTCGCTTCTCATGCACTGATTCACTAGCTGAACAGCAAATCAGAGTGATTTATTTTGCTTACAGCCTTTTGGCCCAAAACCCGATTTTCGGCCGAAAAGGCATCGGCCCGGCTGAAAAGTCCCGACGGTGCGGGACACACCAATCTGAGTAGGGCGTGTCGATGCTCATCGTCGGCCTGATGCCCACCGACGCCGATAATCGGCCTGGTGTGTCCGTGCCTTAAAGCTGCTTTTTTTAAAATGAGGAAATACATTTTCACGAGAAATAACATCACATCTGATTTGCGTTCAACGTGATTAAATGTAGATAACGTTCAGCCTTCAGTCCTCAGGTGAGAACATGTTTAGCTACTAAAGATTTGTTGAGTTTTGTTAATCCGTTACACAAACATCTGAAAAACTGAATCATCAACAAAAAGTACTTTTTTATTAAACTCTAAATGTTATGATTGTAATTCCTTTTCCAGGTTGGTGGTGGTGGATCATCGTTGTGATAGTGGGTGTTGCAGCACTCATAATAATCAATGCGCCTGTCATCTGACGGACGAGGACTCAAGGTGAGGACATTCACACATTATACTTTACAAACAAGCTTTTGAGAAACATGGATTTTAACTATGGAAGATTACATTGATGCTCTCTGGCCTCTTCAGGACAGAGACCTCAGACGGATGAAAACATTGTAAGTTTTATGGATAAGAAGACAAACGTTTTGACAGTAAACAATTGAATCAGATCAAACAGTGTCGTAACAATCTAAACCAGATTAAATAGAAAGAGATGAGGGGAGACTGGGAGAGAGGATGAAGAGATGTACAGAGAGAGGGATTAAGAGATGAAGGGATGTAAGGAGGGATGGATATAGGGAGGGGTTTTCAAAGAATTGAGGGGTGGTTGAAGGGATGTAGGTATATTAGCCGCTTTCACACCAAGTACTTGCCGTACTTAGTGCCGGCACTTAGTAACCCCCAGGCACTAAGTACCAATCGCGTTCACCACCGGATGTACTTTTCCCTGAGGGAAGATTACGCAAATGATACCGCTGACGTCACTTCGTCTTCTTCTGCTTTGGGTTTACTGGCAGGCCGCAAAACAACTTCACGGCGTATACTGCCACCCGAAGTCCCCGGCCGGAAGTCCCCGGAGTTGGGGACTGGCTTCAGTAGAAGCTGCTGGGAGTCCCAGCAGCTTCTACTGAAGCCTTCCGAGTAAATCGCCAGAACGCCGACACCTCCTCATCTCCACCGCTCCCCATGTTTTCTTTTGTGTTGCCATAAGTTATTCTCTCTCTGTTGGTGCGCGGGGCTAATGCTAATAATGCTAATGCCACAAATACAATGGCGGCTTCACAAAACTTGTCAGAGTTTTACGGGCTGTGGTTTGCAATTCGCCCAGCCAATAGAAATTGGTACTTTTTGGTACTTTTTTGGTACCACCTCTCAGCAGGCAATAAAAATGGGGGTAAAAGTTCCTGGCACTAAGTTCTCTTTTGGTGTGAACGCAACATAAGGGGTACTAACGGAACTAAATGGGAAAAGTACGGGGAAAACTCCGGTGTGAACGCGCCTAATGAGGGATAAAAGGATGAAGGGAATTAGGGATGAAAGTTTTGAAGGGATGAGGGGGTGGGATGAAGGGATTTAGGGAAAGATGGATATAGGGAGGGAGGGATGAAGAGTCGAAGGGTTGAAGGGATCAATGGATTACAGAGAGAAGGGATGAATGTATTAAGGGATTTAGAGAGAGAAGGGATGAATGGATTACAGAGAGAAGGGATGAATGGATTACAGAGAGAAGGGATGAATGGATTACAGAGAGAAGGGATGAATGGATTACAGAGAGACGGGATGAATGGATTACAGAGAGAAGGGATGAATGGATTACAGAGAGAAGGGATGAATGGATTACAGAGAGAAGGGATGAATGGATTACAGAGAGAAGGGATGAATGGATTACAGAGAGAAGGGATGAATGGATTACAGAGAGAAGGGATGAATGGAAGCAAACACAGATGGATGAAATCAATGTGAGTTTTTACAACAAAATACTGAACTGTTTTTACTCTCTCTTCATTATAAACTGATAAACACAGACACAAACTACAGCCTCCAAAGAGACCATAGATCTGAATCAACACCTCTTTGAACCAGTAACAACTGAACATGATGAATTCAGATTAAGGACTGATTCCCCTGAATTACATCACATAGAGGATTTCCCCACTTTAACACTAGTGCTTTAGCATTGCTAATAGTTTTTGTTGTATTAGAAAACAATGTGTATGTTACTGTGAATAATGTGCAGGATACAATCTAGTTTCTAAGCAAACTGTCCAGAAGTCAGTAGATTAAATCAGATCAGACGGTAACTGATGGTGCGTTCAGGGTCTGCTGACTCAACTGCGAACTGTGTTTTACTTTGTTTTTTGTTTTTGTTTTTTTTGTTGTTTTTTACCTCGGAGTCATCTTCGACAGTCAGCTCAAATTCAACCACCACATTAATCACATCACCAGGACTGCCTTTTTCCACCTCAAAAACATTGCCCGTCTCCGCCCATCACTCTCCTCCTCTGCTGCTGAAACCCTGATTCATGCATTCATCACATCACGACTCGACTACTGCAATAGCATCTTCTACGGCATACCATCCAACCTCCTCAATAAACTCCAACATATCCAGAACTCTGCTGCCCGCCTCCTCACCCACACCCGCTCCCGAGACCACATCACTCCCGTCCTCCAGAACCTCCACAGGCTCCCTGTCCGTCAAAGAATCAACTTCAAAGTCCTCCTGATTACTCACAAAGCCCTCAACAATCAGGCCCCCCCTACCTCACAGACCTGCTGCCACCACACCCCTTCCCGCTGCCTCCGCTCATCAGAAGCCAACCTCCTATCCATCCCCACCCGCACCAATCACCGGACCTGGGGGGACAGAGCCTTCTCTGTCGCTGCCCCCTCCCTCTGGAACTCACTCCCACAACCCATCAGAGACTGCACTGACCTCACCACCTTCAAAAAACTTACAAAAACTCACCTCTTCAATCTGGCTTTTAATGTGTGATTGTTTTGTATTATTTGACTTTAACTTTAACTATATATTTATTTGTTGTTCCTCTATTTTATTTTATCTTCACTATATCTGTAAAGCGTCTTTGAGCACCTGTAAAAGCGCTAACAAATTAAATCTATTATTATTATTTTCCACAGGTATGATGTAGATGATGGTACAGTGAACTGAGAAAACATCAGACCTCTTGATGGAGTTTGAGCAACACTTCTGCCTCCATCAGACTCCACTGATCAACAACGTCTACATCTGTCATCATGTTTCACATCATGAGTGGAAGATTTTACAATCATTCTGAATTACATATTATTTCATTTTGTTTTGATCTAATAAACCACTGGATGTCACTGTAAAGAGCTTTTAACTCTAGTTTCCTTTCTTATATTGTCTTCATGCTGAAGGTCTCAGAGCTGATTTTAAGATGTACTGATTCTGTGGTTGAGACACATTTAAGAGATGGATCACGTTTTGTTCAGTTGGATAATATCCACATGTCTACCCTACTTTTATAATTTTCTAATCATAAATCTATAGATGTACAATTAGAAAATTCAAAAAGTAGGGTAGACATGTGGATATTGTCCTAGATATTTAACTTATTCTGTGTGTTGACATTTACGACCAACCCTACTTCTAATCTCCCGTAAGGAATGTGATAATGCAGTCGTATGTTGATACTACCAGGTTTTATGGCCTGACCTAGCGGGCACAGGGGGGGGTTTTACGACTGTGAGAACGCTGGCTTCTAAGCACCACAGATGTGAGAGACATCTCCTGTGTCTCCAGGTGTTTACGCCCCATCCCCAATATGTGGATTTGACTCTCTGTAAACTAGTTAAAGGGTCTACCAAGATGCGAGGCTGATCAGATTTGACATGGCAACCCACCCTTACAGTCAGAACCTTTGACTGCAGTGTGACTTGTGATGTGAATTTCTCCGGCCGATACTTGTATTAAATCTCAGTGTTTGACATCAGAACTCCTGCTCGTCCCGTGTCTCCTTCATGAGTCGGTGACTCCCACTGCATTGCTACACAGAAGTTTCCTCCACAGATATTAACCGACTGAACAAAACGTGATCCGTCTCTTAAATGTGTGTCAACCACAGACCTTATTTCCAGCTATTTTCCAAAATCCTATGGAGAAATTACATTGCTTTTTTGTTGAAGGAACCCATGTGCAGCTTACTTCCGGGTTTTAGGATGCGTCACTGTGGCACTCTATTAGCCTTTAAATAGAAGAAGTATCCTTGTTTCTCAATGGTCGACCTAGGTAAAGGATGGTCATCCACCTCTGATTATTTCTCTGTAACCCTTCTTTGCATATGTCTCCTTACAAGTGTCCATGGTCTCGTTTCCTACAGGTGTCCATGTTGATGTTATCACTATGGCCACTCTATTACTACCTTGACCAAAACTTGACCTCGTTAGTAATTTCTAACAGATGTTACTGTTGTCCACTTTCCTAATGTAACTTCTTACCCCATCAACTTCAGAGAATGAGAAGGACAGTTCTACCCTAACCCAATAAAAGTGGCCCTTTGAAACCATTTTGGATGATGATCTCGGGTATGGCATAGAATCTCAGTTTCCAAATAGGAAGTCCGACCTCAGGGGGCGTTCCAGTTGAAATTTCCGACTAGGAACTCAGATATTCCCACTTCCCAGTACAACTGGAATGCACCAAATATCTCCACGCTATTATTTGAATCCCCCAGTCAGAGCTGGTGGATGATGCCAGGGAAAAGGAAGTTTGGGAACCTTTGCTGGGTCTGCTTTCCCCCGCAACCTGACTCCGGGTCAGCAGTTTGACGATGGATGGATGGAAACATCTTAGGAAAAAAAAGAAGAATAACTCTGGACACAACACTTAAAAATATAACCCACAATACTTTATTGCCGTTAATGTCACTGGACAAAAGTTTACAATATGTGAATCACTCTAATTTTACAGACTGCCATTTGGTGTTATACATCTTTGGTTTTTGCACATTCAGGATATTAAAAAATGTTCCATGATTGATTTATTGATTGTCAGTTGGTAGGCGTGATGTGACTGCATGATTGTCATTTCAGCTTTTTGGTGAACATTCGAGCAGAAACAGTCTTCTTAATTTTCTATAAAACACAGATTTTTAAATGCAAACAGATGGAGATGACAGTATTGTTTCAAGTCACACTGAAGCTGAGAAGCACACGTAACACAATGCCTTTTTTTTAAACATAGTGGTAAATAAAAGAATTACTAACTGACATTAACGATTCAAAGTATACAAAGGGTTCCCAGGTTAGAAACATGGTTATGTATTACAAACATTAAAGGCTGTGGGGCAGTGCAGCAACATTGACTGTAAAGATTTAGCACCATAGATCCTAAATGGAGATATTATGGCATTGTACAGACAGTGTAAGCTTGTATGAGATAATAAATGATGGGAATGTTTATTGTTATTAAGTCCGTTTTACATGTAACCTTGGTGGTGGCTGATTGACAGTGGTTTCAAACAATACAGACAGTTTTTGTTTCTCAACAAAAAAAGTCAACACACTTAAAAGGCCTTCATCTTACTGTGAGTATTTGGTTTGGCAGCCTTGACATTGGAAAACAAAAACATCTACATTTTACTTAAAAATATACAATTTAATTTTCAAGAAGCAAGTTTGATAATATTGTTTTTTCAGCATTGAGACAATACAAAAGACAGACATACACAACAATAAATCCTAAAAAAAGAATAAGTCTTTTTGCAATCCAGATTCAAGACTGCACTTTGTACAGAGTACGAGATGGTATTATCTAGCACCTTTTTCCTCCTCGAGAGAAAAACAAATCATGAGAAATGAAAGATGACCTGCTTGATATTTGGTTTCTTTATGAGGTTTGGTGTTTACCTGTGTGCGTGCCCTTACGCTGTAAAACACTACCTTTAGTTACAGTTTAGGTTAACATGTCATGGGTCTTTGAGGCTGCAGTCAGCTGTGTTGTAAACAAGGTTAAGAAAGCTCACGGTAAAGTAAAATAAGTCCACTTATAATCGAGTTCTGCTCTATAGAGTGGTGCAGTTAAGACTTATCTTGTCGGCTAACAATTTTGGAATATCCCAGCAAATAAGAACAGTGGACACTACACGTTTCGTACTCTCCATAACACGTGTTTTATTAATTTCAAAGGTACGAAGCTAATGTTAGGCTAAAACAAGCTACAGCAGGGTAACATCACTTCCCGTAACCACCGCTAAGCTAACTGCGGCTAATGTTTGGCGTGATGACACCCTCCATATTTAAACACCTATTGTATTTAATTAAAATGGTCATAAGCCAGAAGTAAAAAGCTAATGTTAGGCTAAAACAAGCTACAGAACGTCATCACCGCTATGCTAACGGCGGCTAATGTTCGGCGTGTTGACGTTTAGTTCCCATTTAAGCTACATATACGCTTCAGATATTCACCAATTGGGTATTTACTGACCTATTTTATGTTGTACAACAAAATGTGAACATCTCTTTAGATTTTGTTAACTAAGCATCTGACCAAAATCACGAGGGAAGCAAACGTTGTAAAATGCGGACTCATTTCCTGGTTTGAAGGACTCATTCCTGCACCACTCTATTCTCCTGTAGCTTTTATGTTTAGGAGTTTTTTTAAATGCAGAACCGGGAGAAGCTATCAACAAGGGGAAAATACTCTGGCCTTAAAGAAAAAGCTGTCTCTCAGGTCCAAAATCAGTGCTCCTGAAGTCTTAATCCCTACGAGATAAACACAAACATGACCTGATCTATCTTTTTCTCTGTGAGCTACTAACTGGTGTTTATTCCCTGCTCACGATGGATCCTGAGCGACACTAGCACCCTTTTTTGTTTCAAATTCTGCATCGCAGCACGGTGTCCGCACTGGCTGAGAAGCACTGAGGTAACCAAACATGACCGCACACACACGCAAACACGCTAATCCCTGCTTGACAAAAGTCGGCTACGTCAAGAGTAGCTCGCTGAAAGTGGGTTTTCATACGGCTATAAAACAGACCTGCTATGGACTGAAGAACCTGAAATGCTGTGTAAATGTTGCAGTCCTTCGTGTTAACATTTTTCAAACAGCACAAATACATTAAATGACACACTACAATACTGAAAGGGGCGGACGTGACGAACATTGTTCCCCAGTGTTGTGAATTATTTTTACCAAGATCACAGAGAGGTGAGAAAGTCCTTGGACCACCCCTTATACTTATAATTTTGGCATTTTGACCGTTTTTGGCTGCTCTCTGCACTTATTTTCTTGTACTGCTTGTGTACAAAAGTGCTTCATGGACTTTTTAACCATTATTTTGTCTCTATCAGGGTGCTACGGTCCAAACACTGATCACCTCTCTGCTTTCTCCTCCACCGGTTCTCAGTGGAGTGCTGGGTCAACTACAAGTGGAGGGGCGCATGAGGAAGTGTAGTCATAAAACATGAACATATAATAACAAAAACAGTAACAAAGTGGTGGTAGAGTTGGGCTGATTGACTCAGTCTTTCGTAGCCCTTGATGCAGGTGGGGGTGCTCCTGCAGGGGGGAGGAGTTATCGGAGAAAAAGGGGTGGAAGGGAAGGTTAGAGGCTTTTAGGAATCAGTCCAGGACAGGATGGTGAGCGCACTCTGGGCTCAGTGCAGGTGGATGAGGAGCTTGATGCGCAGGGCGTCTCCTATCTCCCCTCGTAGGTAGTCAGTGTCGTGCTGCTCCTCCAGCTGGTGGAGTCTGCGGGGTCCGAAGAGCCTCAGGCTGGCGATCTCCAGCTGGTAGGATCCCGCGGGGGGCGCCCTCTTGGCGAGCCGGAGCACACTCTTGCCGTCGCGTCGCTCCAGCAGGCGGAAGTGTTCGTTGGTGTTCCCGTGAGTGATGACGTAGCGGACGTGGTGCTCCAGAGGCTCCAGGGCCGGCAGGAGCTCCAGCAGAGGCTCCTTGTTGAGCAGCGAGGACAGAGTGAGGTTCATGGGGATCGGGCCCTGCGTGTCGATGCTGGCCATGCTCACTTCTGGCTCCTGGAGGATGAGGACAGAGAAACATTAATTATTAATATTATTGTATATTTTTTTACGTTTATGTATGTTTATTTATGAGTTACTTTTAACAACAAGGCAATTCACAGTGTCTTACAAAACAAAAGTACCTTTATATTTCTCTAATTATACTTTATTGAGTTTTTCATTTTTTACAAATACAAACAATGACATCCACAAATAAATATATTAACAATGAGTGAATAAGACATGTACAAATGAGTTGGCAATCCATGTATAAATACAACATTTTACTTAGTAATACGTAACCAACCAAGTTAATCTCCCTTAATATGATTATTTTTATATTAAAGAATGGTGTTTTCATTTTGTTTATTTAATTTTTTCTTTCAATTGTAATTGTGATTTTTCATTGAATTTTTTATTATTATTTTATTTTAATTATACATTCTTTTTAATGTACACATTTTTTCACATAAGAAAAAAATAAATCTAATGGTTTAATTCATATGATACGGCACGTTTCTTTGTTTGTTGTTTGTACTGTATGTAAAACCATTTATTTTAAACAGACTACATGTATGGACAAAAGTCAATCGTAAAAAGTGAAAATAAATAAGGACCAAAAGCTGGAAGAAGATTTTCAACTTATGTAAATGTTGCAATAATACAGTGTTACATTTTACAGGATATTGTGCGGGTTCATGTGTAAAATATGGTGTATTTAAATTCTTAATAAAATCATAGGCAGTTTGTCAACACGTACCTCGCTGAGTTCGTTTCCGTCAGTGTGGCGTCTGTGGCGCCCGTTCTTGGCTCCTCCTCCTGCTCCTGCTCCGTTGATCTTACACTCGTAGCACGCCTCGGGAGACAGACTGTCCTCGTCATCGCCCTCCGTGACATGTCCCGGGAAACCTGAGCCGCTCATACAGTGACTGGAAGAAACAATGAGATGATGTTTAGTCACAGGGAAGGAAATACATTTTAAATTAATTCATCACTACTCTCAGCATACCATAACCTATTGCAACGTACTGTATTGCATTGTATCTTATTGTATCACATCTCATTGTAGTATCATATCGTATCATATTACATACTATCATATTGCATCGCATCGTAAAGTTTTGTATAATACCGCCTTGTATTGTATTGTATCAATTTGTATAGCATTGCCTCGTATTGTATGGCATTGCTTCCTATTGTATCGTATCGTTTTGTTGTATCATATTGCATACTATCATATCATAGTATCACCTACTGTAGTATCGCATAGTATCGTATAGTTTTGTATCATACCGCCTCGTATTGTATTGTATACTATTGTATCGTATCACTTTGTATCATCTCATATGGTATTGTATCGCATTGTTTCCTATTGTATTGTATCACTTTGTATAGCATCGCCTCATATTGTTTTGGTTTGGTATCGCTCGTATCCTATAGTTTCATATGGTATGGTATCGCTTTGTGTCGTATAGTCTCATAACGTATCTTAAACTTATTGAAAATGAATTGGCAATAACTCAGCACTGCATTGTACCGTAACGTATAGCAGTGTTTCTCAAACTTTTTCATACCAAGGACCACTTAACCAATAAAAAAACACTCGTGGACCACCTAACTCCACAAATATAAAAAGACACATCGTTTTTCTAGAACAGATTACAAATCACTTGAAAATGGTACAAACAAGTGGCAACATGTGTGATGAAGGTGTTGCGCTGGGCTATATCATGCAATTGAAAGTGAAACTTAACCTCCCTCCATTGCGGAGATATTCCCGCGAGAGTGCGGAAAACTTAAATGTATTTATTTATTTCAAATGTGAAATTTTACCAATATACTCACGGACCACTAGGGGGCGCTCACGGACCACCAGTGGTCCGCGGACCACACTTTAAGAAGCACTGATAGTATCGTACTGTATCGCATCTCATTGTATCGTATCGTTTTGTATCATCTCTTATTGTATCGTCCCATACAGTATACTATTGTATTGAATTGCATAGTTTGGTATCGTATTGTATCATATTGTATCGCATCGCCTTGTATCGTATGGCCTGGTATCATATCGTAACGTATGCTATAGCATGTTATCGTTTTGTATCGTATAATCTCAGATCGTATTTTATGATACCATGGTATATCGTATTGTACCACATCGTCTCCTATCTTATTATTACGTATCATATGTGTCCTCTTACCCCTGTCCGGCCCTGTAGAAGCCCCCGGGGCAGCCGCACTGATACCCTCCGTCGGTGTTGGAGCAGCCGTAGATGCAGGGGTTGGAGCTGCTGCCGCTGCACTCGTTCACGTCCTGGCAGCCGCTGCCGCCCTGCTCGAAGTCAAAGCCGGAGGGACACACACACTTAAAGCTGCCCAGTGTGTTGTAGCAGGAGGCGGAGCCACACACCGATGCTCCCTGACACTCGTTCTCATCTGAAGGGGGAAAAGTGCAGAGACAGAAGATGAGAATGTGTACGAGAAAAATATGGTGTTATTCTTCCATTCAAGATAAGTGAGTTCAAGTATTTAATTCTCCATACAGCATAAATCAAATTGATAGGCTTATGCAAGAGGCCTTTTTCATATTTGTCATTACTTGCCACTTAAAAAAATTAATCATACAAATACTGGTATCACAACATGTTTCCGATTACTTTACTTTTTCTGTGGGATAACTGTCGATCGAATATATATCGCAAATCCTTTGTATCAAGAATCAAGTTGTGAATTGATTCAAATGTCGATTTTTAAACTAATTAAGTGTTAGATAAAACCAGATCAATCAAGATATATATTTTGAGAAATGGTTATTACATTATTCCTCAAAGATAAGAATTTTCCTTAATCACTTTACACTAATAACTTAAGGAGACATCATATTTGTACATACATTATGGAACAATTTATAACTTAACATATTGCTGCAGTCTTATAATAAGCCTTGAGCCCCAGGTCCTTTATCCACAGGACAAACTCCCAGAATGCATCAGTGTAACTCACCGACGCACTGGTTCCACTGGTAGTGCTGCACGTAGCCCTGAGGACAGCCGCAGCGGAAACCTCCCATCATGTTCTGACAGCCGTGCTGGCAGCGGTGGTTACTGCCACACTCATCCACATCTGAGCAAAATGAAAATACACTTTTAATCTCTCGTGGGGGGGGGGGGGGGGGGGGCGCAACAGCGCTAATTAAAGTTTAAAAGTCTCAAAAATGCTACAACTACTGTCACAAACTGGATGAATGTGAAGTATTTTGTTAAAGGAGGATGAAAGCGTAATTAAGGAGCACTATGGAGTGACTTTGATGGTTATTGGACTCAGGATTAATTCATTTGGATTCCCGCTGTATGAAGAAATTAAAGGACGGCGGAAAGTGGAAACAATTCACAAAGGGATTAAACTGTTTAAAACACATGCTCAAAGTAAGCTTGATTTTGCCGATGTGTTTATGTGGATTCAAAAGTCGTAAATAATCTACAAAATGGAGGAGACCGATCTGATCGGAGCAACTGTGACAAATAATCCAACTGAAACCGGCATGGACAATGACCGTTTTAAAAATGCACTTATCCAGAAAAGCCTGGTTTGGACACTTTACGGGCAGAAGAAACATTTCTATTAAAGAAAGAATTATACATTTCTGTCTTTGTATGCCTTTAATACTAACTTGAATTTTTATTCAAATGAATTAATCAATTATTTTTTACGTTTTATTGTAATGTAGAGACAAGGCTTTTAGTGACAATCATGTATTGCGTTACAATTACAATTATATGTAAAAAAATAAATAATTCTAAATATGATATTTGGCCTCAAATCATCTGAGGCCTGGCCCCCCCTGCGATCTTTGGCGCCCCCCCAGGTTGGGAACCACTGCTTAAGAGAACATGAATTACAATATAAGGGGTTGCTCCAATACGTTTTATAACACTTATCCTATTCTCTCTTTTATTAATTGTATTCCTTCTTAGGAAAATTGACAGGACTTTTTTTGCTATGTGCAGACGAGACTGGTTGAATTTAATGTTGTGATAAAAGGTGATTGTCTTCATTGATTGTCTGTGTGATTGCCCGATCAACATTCTCTTATATTTCAGTTATGTAATTCCTTTCATATATATTTGAGTTTGTTTAGTTTTTTGTCAATGGGATCTATTTTGGCCAAGCTTGTATACCGTGGTCTCGCGTTACCAAACGTCTACTTTCACACAGCTATAAGTTGTTTATTGACAACACAAAAAAGATACATGTAGAAGAACAAAAAAGGACCTTGTGTGGCAGATCTTCCTTCAGCGTGTACTCACCCTCACACTCCACGCCGGTGCCGTCCAGGGAGAAACCTTTAGAGCATTCACAGTTGAAGCTGCCGGGCGTGTTGACGCAGGCAGCTCTGGTTCCACACGCCGTGTTCTGAGCAGAGCACTCATTGTTGTCTGCAAACAGGGGGACAAAAACACATTATTGATGCTACATCTGTCCCTCTTTAGACGTTATTTCAGTGCAGGCCATCACTGATGCACTCACCGATGCAGGCCGTCTGGTGCTGGGTGAAGCCGGGGGGGCACTTGCAGGTGAAGCCTCCGATGGTGTTCACACACAGGAACTGGCAGTTATGTTGCTTAGACGAACATTCATCAATATCTGGGAAGGAAACAAGAAAACACTTAATATCTGTCAAAACCAAAAAACGAGGCTAAAAAGCGATAAAGCTTGTTTATAGAAATGATGAGAGCAATATCACACATTATTATGAACATACAGCTCCCAGTAGAACAGAGTGTTAAGGGCAACAATATTGAGTATTAAGTAGGAAAGATTGTGTATATTAGAATATGCTGTTGTATTCAATAATGAATATAATGTTAAACACCTGAGCTTTTGAAAGAACATCCATAACATTCATCTGTTTGCAATCTATTATATCATATTCCAATTACTTGTATATAGACTCTCCTTGCACTATTTTATCTATGTTATTGTGTTGCACTGTTGGAGGAGCCTGTGACCTAATATGTTCATTGATATATCTACACTGTAGCTTTGCACACATGACAATAAAAGCCTTGAACCTTGAAAAGAGTTGAAGTTGCTGATGGCAAAGTAAGTCTGTTAAAAAGCCTGATGTTGAATGCATCTTTCCTCTGTGCCTGGCCAGCCTCTCAAGCAGCGGTGTCCAAACTACGGCCCGGGGGCCAAATGTGGCTCGCGGATCATTTTGAATCGGCCCTCAGCAAATTAAAAAAGTATAATGGAATACGACCCACAAATGAAACTTGTACTTGTCTTATATTGTACTTCTTAAATATATATATACAAATATATTACACAGTAGTATTCATGTATTAATAAGCCCACTTTTCAAATACATTCACTCAATTAAAGTTGGAAATATTTTCTAACAAATCTTCGTTGATAAGAAAAAAGGCCAATGACTTATTTACATACAACCTTGAAATACACCCTTCCTATTTCCTCTTATTATAAGCAATCTGAAGCTTCTGCTTTAAGGGATGAGCTGCCAACAAAATAAATGAAACCTTAAAGCATTTTCAAGTATCAAGAATAATTTACAGGTTATTTTAATATCATCTTTTCCAATTGTGCAAATAATCTTTTCTTCTAACCCTAACCCTGTATTTGATTGACTTTTCCAACTTATAACTGAACTTATGAGGCAGTATACCTCGCCTCTAGTGAGTGGCCCAGCCCTTCGTATATTTGTCTGTATGTGGCCCTCTGTGAAAAAAGTTTGGACACCCCTGCTCTAAACAGTCAACACACACACACCCAGAGTCCTCCTACCTTTGCAGGTCTTCCCGTCCGGCTGCATGCTGTATCCTCGGGGGCAGGAGCACAGGTAGCTGCCCTCTGTGTTCTTACACAGGAAGTTACAGGGCTTCGGAGACAGAGCACACTCGTCCATATCTGGAAAATACGAACAGGGGGAAATATTCAGTATGTGTCAAACCAAACCAGATGCATTTGAAACCAAAGTGACTGATCGTAAGATGTGGCTCGTACCGATGCAGGAGGTGGATGTGTAGTCGGTTTTGTATCCCACGTTGCAGTGACAGCGGAAGGATCCGATGGCGTTGATGCACTGACCGTTACGACACAGATCTGGCATCACCGTGCACTCGTTGATGTCTGAGGTACAGAGACGTTAGAGAAAGGGATAGGAAAGGTACTCATTGTAATAAGGCCACACCTCAGGCCATTATGATTATCATTCTTATTAATTCTCTTTTTTTATTTAAGTAATTGGTGTGTAAGCTGAGATATACATAGATATCTTGCTACATGATTTAAGTGAGATTATTGTCACCCATGGAGGGATGTATGTTATATGCGTAGTAACTATTCTGCACACATTTGAGTACGTATGCGGGTCACGGTGTATGCTATGTCTGAATGTTTACAATAATGACAATAAAAAGATTATAAATAGATAAAAAGAAAGTTATTCACTGACACTTTAAGAGCTACAATCTTGTTTCTTTAACATAGTATCAACCATTTTTCATGTAGCTGCATTCAACTTAATGTACCCTAATTTATGTTCCCTTTCACAGGTTCATGTATTTGAATGCATTGTATTTTGTTATCGTAATATTGCGGTCATGCAGAATTACTTGCATTATGATTTACCACTAGAGCAGTGTTTCTCAAACTTTTTCATACCAAGGACCACTTAACCAATAAAAAAACACTCGCGGACCACCTAACTCCACAAATATCAAAAAACACATCGTTTTTCTAGAACAGATTACAAAACGCCTGAAAATGGTACAAACAAGTGGCAACATGTGTGATGAAGGTGTTGCGCTGGGCTATATCATGCAATCGAAAGTGAAACTTAACCTCCCTCCATTGCGGAAATATTCCCGCGAGAGTGCGGAAAACTTAAATGTATTTATTTATTTAAAATGTGAAATTGTACCAATATACTCGCGGACCACCAGGGGGCGCTCACGGACCACACTTTGAGAAGCACTGCACTAGACCCACTGTTTAACATGATAGGAGCAATGATGGAGCTACTGAATGGAAAAGAGAAAGGCTTACCTGCTGCATATTATTTTATCTGTGGCACAAAAACCAAATGAACCCATACAGTGAAGGCTCTGATTTATTTCCGTTTGCCAAAAAGCTATTTTTTCCTTCTATTTTTCCTTCTATTTTGAACTAGTTTGTTTGCGCAACTGTACTTGACTAGAAAAGAAAAACTGAAAAAGCAGCTTTTAACAATACAAAAAGAAACGATTGTTGTGGTGAATATATAAACCGCAATAAACCGTATTTAATTTAGTCTTCATTTACATTATTTAATCCCATATTCTATTGACATGTATATAGACTTTTTGCACTACTTTTTAGTTAGTATTTTTGTATTTTATTATATATTGTTGGAGGAGCTCAGGTCAGAAGAATTTCATTACCATTTCTAAACTGTCGCTTTGTGCATATGACAATAAAACCTTTGAATCTTGAAATGGGTAAATAAAGAAGCAGAAATAATATGGAGATTTGGTTTTGTTCAGATCAGTGTGTACCACGGTGGTGCCCCTCACCTCTGCCGTCGGTGGTGTATCCGGGTCCGAGCGGGCACATCCTCTTGTACTGCATGGTGCCGGGCAGCGGGCACAGCTCGCACTGAGACCCCCAGCCCCTCCCTGTGTTGCAGCAGCACTCAGACTTAGTGACACTGTTCCTGTTGGTGGCCGACTGCTGGCACATGATCTGCAGAACCTCCGTGAAGCAGAAGCCCTTTCTGTTGTCTGCAGGCCACGAAGACAGGACATAGAAGGGAAGACAGTATGTTAATAATACAAAAGTTAATTCTTTATAGCATGGAAAATGTAATAAATACCACTTACCCCTCCATCCCCCCCCTGCCCCCACTGGACTATAACTCCCCCACACACTCAGACACTCAAATCCAGCATCAGACACTTTTTACGCTGCTATGGACAATATTGCAATAATATTTATTTTTGCACATTCGACAATCTGCACTAATGTACTTTCTCAAAATATTGAAGTGACTGTTATTTTGTATATATTGATTGTTGTATTTTTCTCTAGGTCTTAATGTGTGCACTTGTAAAAATGTGTGTTTGACTGAGTATATATATTTACACATATTTGCACGCATATTTTTATATCTTATATAGTATTTCGATCTCTCCGCCTGTACACACAAACTGGAACATTGACAATAAAGTTGACTGACTTTTGACTTATAAATTATGTGTAACAACCAGAGATCGCAAAAGTACGCACATTCTTTACTCAAGTAGAAGTACAGATACTTGTGTTTAAAATACTCTGGTGAAAGTAGAAGTACTGACTAAACTTCTTTACTCAAGTAAAAGTAAAGAGGCTTTGAAATGTACTTCAGTAAAAAGTACCCATAACTAGCAGCTGCTTTAAAGAGTACCTGACCTCCCTTTATATTAATAGAACAATAATGTCATTGTTAGCTAATGAATGTTTCCATGCTGAACAACGGCAACATGACAACGTTTCCATTGGTCCCTCTTCTTTAGAGAAGACCAGGAAATGATGGATACACGGATCGTGTTCAAATCAATAGGCACGCAATGACTCTAAAGAATAATGATCACGCATCAAACACACATTCAGACTAAAGGAACCAGCTGTTTGGAAAATGAGAGAAGTAGAAAGTACAGGTATTGGAGTTCAACATGTAAGAAGTAGAAAGTACAGGTATTTGAGTTCAACATGTAAGAAATAGAAAGTACAGGTATTTGTGTTCAACATGTAAGAAGTAGAAAGTACAGATATTTGAGTTCAACATGTAAGAAGTAGAAGTAAAAAGTCGTCAGAAAAATAAGTAGTGGAGTAAAGTACTGATATCAGAATAATTTTCTTAAGTACAGTAACAAAGTATTTGTACTCCACTACTTCCCACCTCTGGTAACAACAAGCTTTTCACCGGATCTTACCAATGCATTCAGTTCCAGTGACGCTGGACTCGAAGCCGTCGTTGCACTCGCAGCGGTAACTCCCCACCGTGTTCACACAGCGGCCGTTCTTACAGATGCCCGGTTTGGAGCGGCACTCGTTCAGATCTGCATGAGTTCGGGGAAAGAGAATGAGAGGATGAGGACATTGGAAGAGGGGCGGACAATTCCAGTAGCAGTAGTAGCAGATATTGAGTGAAAGTTATGGAGATCTTAAAGGTCCCCCATTATACTGTTTTTCATCAATATATTACAGGTCTCAGATACATACAAAACCTGTCTCTGATTGGCTCCAAACACCAAACAGATCATTGTAGCATTACCCATAATCCCCTCTGTTTCAGCCCTGTTTCCAAAGTGCTGATTCTCTGTCTGTTACTTTAGATGAAAATAAGGAGCCCCTCCCCACGCCCCTCTGAGAGATATTTGGTTACAAAGAACACAATGGTGCTCTAGGAGGAGATTCAGGTGATAAGGGGGGGGGGGGGGGGGGTTACCTTGGTTGCTGATTGGCTAATGGTTACACAAGCCAAACAACATTATGACATCATAAAGTGGCCAAAATCTGATCAGCTAATTTTCAGACAGGTTTTTATAGAAATGGATCAGGACAAAAAGAGAGAGAATCTTTGTTCCTGAAACTTTCAGAGTCTCTTTCCACAGAGGGGACACATGTTGATGTAGAGAGAGACATGAAGAAGAGGGGACACATGTTGATGTAGAAGAGACATGAAGAAGAGGGGACACATGTTGATGAAGAAGAGACATGAAGAAGAGGGGACACATGTTGATGTAGAAGAGACATGAAGAAGAGGGGACACATGTTGATGTAGAAGAGACATGAAGAAGAGGGGACACATGTTGATGTAGAAGAGACAGAAGAGGGGACACATGTTGATGTAGAAGAGACAAGAAGAGGGGGACACATGTTGATGAAGAAGAGACATGAAGAAGAGGGGACACATGTTGATGTAGAAGAGACATGGAGGAAGAGGGGGGGACACATGTTTGATGTAGAAAGAGAACATGAAGAAGAGGGGGACAGCATGTTGATGTAGAAGAGACATGAAGAAGAGGGGACACAGTTGATGATGAAGAGACATGGAGAAGAGGGGAACACATGTTGATGTAGAAGAAGGAGCATGAAGAAGAGGGGACACATGTTTGATGTAGAAAGCGACCATGAAAGAAGAGGGACCACATGTTGATTGTTAGAAGAGGACATGAGAAAGGAGAGACATGAAGAGAGGGGGACACATGTTGATGTAGAAGGAGACATGAAAGAAGAGGGGGACACATGGTTGATGTAGAAGAGACATTGAAGAAGAGGGGACACATGTTGAGTAGGAAGAAAGAGACATGAAAGAAGAGGGAGACAACATGTTTGATGAAGAAGAGACATGAAGAAGAGGGGACACATGTTGATGTAGAAGAGGAACATGGAGAAGAGGGGACACATGTTGATGTAGAAGAGACATGAGAAGAAGTAGGGGACACATGTTGATGTAGAAGAGACATGAAGAAGAGGGGACACATGTTGATGTAGAAGAGACATGAAGAAGAGGGGACACATGTTGATGTAGAAGAGACATGAGGAAGAGGGGACACATGTTGATGTAGAAGAGACATGAAGAAGAGGGGACACATGTTGATGTAGAAGAGACATGAAGAAGAGGGGACACATGTTGATGTAGAAGAGACATGGAGAAGAGGGGACACATGTTGATGTAGAAGAGACATGGAGAAGAGGGGGACACATGTTGATGTAGAAGAGACATGAAGAAGAGGGGACACATGTTGATGTAGAAGAGACATGAAGAAGGGGACACATGTTGATGAAGAAGAATGAGAGGGACACATGTTGATGTAGAAGAGACATGGAGAAGAGGGGACACATGCTGATGTAGAAGAGACATGAAGAAGGGGGGACACATGTTGATGTAGAAGAGACATGAAGAAGAGGGGACACATGTTGATGTAGAAGAGACATGAAGAAGAGGGGACACATGTTGATGTAGAAGAGACATGAAGAAGAGGGGACACATGTTGATTGTGTAGAAGAGACATGGGAAGAGGGGACACTGTTGATGTAGAAGAGACATGAAGAAGACGGGGGACACATGTTTGATGAAGAAGAGACATGAAGAAGAGGGGGGACACATGTTGATGTAGAAGAGACATGGAGAAGAGGGGGACACATGTTGATGTAGAGAGACATGAAGAAGAGGGGGACACATGTTGATGTAGAAGATAGACATGAGAAGAGGGGACACATGTTGATGTAGAAGAGACATGGAAGAAGAGGGGACACATGCTGATGTAGACGAGACAGTGACATGAAGAAGGGGGGGACAACTGTTGATGAAGAAGAGACATGAAGAAGAGGGGGACACATGTGATGTAGAAGAGACATGGAGAAGAGGGGACACATGTTGATGTAGAAGAGGACATGAAGAAGAGGGGGACACGTGTTGATGTAGAAGAGACATGAAGAAGAGGGGTACACATGTTGATGTAGAAGAGACACGAAGAAGAGGGGACACATGTTGATGTAGAAGAGACATGGAGAAGAGGGGACACATGTTGATGTAGAAGAGACATGAAGAAGAGGGGACACATGTTGATGTAGAAGAGACATTGAAGAAGAGGGGACACATGTTGATGTAGAAGAGACATGAAGAAGAGGGGACACATGTTGATGTAGAAGAGACATGAAGAAGAGGGGACACATGTTGATGTAGAAGAGGACACGGAAGAAGAGGGGACACATGTTGATGTAGAAGAGACATGAAGAAGAGGGGACACATGTTGATGTAGAAGAGACACGGAGAAGAGGGGACACATGTTGATGTAGAAGAGACATGGAGAAGAGGGGACACATGTTGATGTAGAAGAGACACGGAGAAGAGGGGACACATGTTGATGTAGAAGAGACATGAAGAAGAGGGGACACATGTTGATGTAGAAGAGACACGGAGAAGAGGGGACACATGTTGATGTAGAAGAGACATGGAGAAGAGGGGGACACATGTTGATGTAGAAGAGACATGAAGAAGAGGGGACACATGTTGATGTAGAAGAGACATGAAGAAGGGGGGACACATGTTGATGAAGAAGAGACATGAAGAAGAGGGGACACATGTTGATGTAGAAGAGACATGAAGAAGAGGGGACACATGTTGATGTAGAAGAGGACATGAAGAAGAGGGGACACATGTGATGTAGAAGAGACATGAAGAAGAGGGGACACATGTTGATGTAGAAGAGACATGAAGAAGAGGGGACACATGTTGATGTAGAAGAGACATGAAGAAGAGGGGACACATGTTGATGTAGAAGAGACATGAAGAAGAGGGGACACATGTTGATGTAGAAGAGACATGAAGAAGAGGGGACACATGTTGATGTAGAAGAGACATGAAGAAGAGGGGACACATGTTGATGTAGAAGAGACATGAAGAAGAGGGGACACATGTTGATGTAGAAGAGACATGAAGAAGAGGGGGACACATGTGATGTAGAAGAGACATGAAGAAGAGGGGACACATGTTGATGTAGAAGAGACATGAAGAAGAGGGGACACATGTTGATGTAGAAGAGACATGAAGAAGAGGGGACACATGTTGATGTAGAAGAGACATGAAGAAGAGGGGACACATGTTGATGTAGAAGAGACATGAACAAGTGGATTTTGAATAATAGGTGACCTTTAAACATTTTCACTCACCCATACAGCCCTCTCCATCGGGTCTGCGCTGCATGCCGGGGGGGCAAATACACATGAAGGTCCCGATCAGGTTCTTACAGGTCATGCCCTTGGAGTCGCAGTCATCCATCCCCTCAGAGCACTCGTCCTGGTCTGGGGAGGGATACAGAGAGAGGGTCAGTAGGTAAAACAGCAGATAGAAGAGACAGTTAAAGATCTCCTATCATGCTATTGTTAGACATATATCATGGGTCTCAGATAAATAAAGTCTATGATGTGTTTTTCTCAAAATACCAAACAGATCATGCATTTTAGACACCCCTCATATCCCTCTGTTTCAGCCCTGTTAGAGGAATGCTGATTCTGGGTCCTTAGCTTGATTCTACGAGATATAGCTAAATGCTGCCGTGATTAAATGCCATCATGTTCCAAACCACATCAAGGATTATTTCTGAAACAGTATGGAGCTCAAATGCTTTCTCTCTCTCAGGTTTACCACAAAGTGAGTTTCTTTTTTTATTTCCTGCTTTTTTACACACACTCTCTCCAGTACAGGTTAGCTCTGAGTGTTAGCGATGCTAATGTAAACAAAGACCATTTTACGTCCAAAACACGTTGTGCATTGTTTCTGATAGGGCCGTGGGTCCAGATTTTCGATAACACGTCATATCGGACGCAAATCTGGATCAGCTCCGTTGCAGCCCCTTTTTTTTAGATTTCGGTACGGAGGAAAAGAGAGAGGGTTTTGTTTTCTGACACTTTGTGAGTTCCCCGACACACCGGGGACACATATTTATGTATAAAAGACATTAAAAAGTGCTTTTTGCATGATAGGAGACCTTTAAACACACAGGAAGTTGTCCGTGCTCTCACCTCTGCACATGCGCTGGTCCTCTCGCAGCACGTAGCCACCGGGGCACATGCACTCATAGGAACCAAAAGTGTTCACGCACCGGAAGGCACACAGCAAGGGATTCTGGGAGCACTCGTTGATGTCTGGAGTCAAGAAGAGAGAAAGGATCCTTTAATCAACCCATTACAAAATAATAAAATACTTGTAATATGAGTGACTGTTTGAATGGCTGACCCTCGCAGGTCATCATGGCTCCGGGTTCGAATCCGTCCTGGCACGTACACTCGAATCCTCCGACCACGTTGGTGCAGGTTCCATTCCCACAAGGGTTTCCAATCGAGCACTCGTCAGTGTCTGGAGAACAGCGGAGAGTAGAAAGAAGAAGCAGTTAGATTATCTATTCTGTACCTGACGTTATAAAAGCACTCATTAGCAGTTTAAATGTTAGAGAACTGATCAGGATGCAGGAGGAAGCTTCTACTGGCAGAAGCTCAATGTGTTTGCATTTAAGTAGCAAATGATAAACATTGAGTTTTAGACCCCGAGTAATGGTGCGCACTTTAACAAATGCAATGCCATTTTCAACCTGCATACTCTGCCTACTTGAAATGTGTGTTGTGTTGATCACAATGTATCTGGGGAATTAAGTGTTGACTTGCTGGGAATTCATGTTGTTAAAGTTAGTTAAAATAAAGGGAAATTCATCGATCTGTGGCACTCGTTTTACTTTAAAATTGGTATCAAGTATTCTCATCAAGAGGCTGAAGTCAAAGTCAAATCAGTCATTAGGTAATCAAGAGGCTGAAGTCAAAGTCAAATCAGTCATTAGGTAAGTAAAACGAGTGCCACAGATCGATGAATTTCCCTTTATTTTAACCAACTTTAACAACATGAATTCCCAGCAAGTCAACACTTAATTCCCCAGATACATTGTGATCAACACAACACACATCGACTCAAGGCAACACCTCTAGTTACTGGTGTTAAAAAATAACATCCTACCTTTTGGTCATATATTCTGTGACGTGGCAATAAAGCCCCTTAACAAAAGACAGCCGTTCTCCTGCTCTTTTTGAGACAATAACTCAAAGTACTCAGCTCTACTTCTATGATCTCAGTGTTATTTCTAGAAACCACCTTCAAAAAACTTACAAAAACTCACCTCTTCAATCTGGCTTTTAATGTGTGATTGTTTTTGTATTATTTGACTTTAACTTTAACTATATATTTATTTGTTGTTCCTTTATTTTATTTTATCTTCACTATATATGTAAAGTGTCTTTGAGCACCTGTAAAAGCGCTAACACATTAAATCTATTATTATTATTATCTTACCAATACAGTTGACCCCGGTGTAATCCAGGTTGAAACCGAAGGGACACTCGCAGCGGAACGAGCCGTCTGTGTTGATGCAGATCCCGTTCTGACAGATGCCCGGGTTGTTCAGACACTCATTCATGTCTAAAGAGAGCAAGAGAAAAAAAGCATGTTTTAACAAAACCTCCACAATTGTCTACTCGAGTAGATTTGCGTTACGGCACTCACCTTCACGAGTATCGCCGAGTCCAGGCAGGGCTCCGTGCCCGAAAGGACAGAGTGTGTCAAAAGCTGCTACAGACACATAGAAAAAAAGGTACACATTATTATTTAGCAAATGTTTCTGTGTGCACGTGAGAAAACTAAAGTTTAAACGGTTAATTGTCATACAGAGGAGATGTGGTAGTGAACATCTTAATCCCAGGCTCCTCTAACGATGCAAAATGCCATATATTTAAGAAAAGCAGATGAAGAAATAAAGACATAATAATGCAAGTAAGATCAAGAAATAATAATATATATACATATAAAATAGAATAAGATAAAACAAATAGTAGAAATATGTGGATTTGTGGACATTTGTAAAGAGGAACAAGTTATTCAAAATAAACGTAGGTGGTAAAAGATCTGTATGTGTGTGTGTGAGTGTGTGTGTGTCTGTGTCTCACACACCCTCGCTCTCTCGGGGGCACAGCTCGCAGGGCAGCCCCCAGCCCTCTCCGGGCATCTTGCTGCAGCAGCACTTAGCCTTGGTGGTGTTCAGAGCTTTGGGGACGGAGCATTTCCCCGCCTCAAATGTAGTGAAGCAGAAGCTCTCTCTGGTGTCTGCCATGAGGAAAGAGATGGACCGTAATTGGTTGGTTATTCATGGACCACTCAAAGACAACATCACCACAGTATCAGGGATTATTCCAGATGTTCTCTCACCGTAGCAGCGCCGCTTGTTCTCCGAGAGGACGAAGCCCGACTGGCAGGTGCAGTGGAAGCTGCCGGGGGTGTTGGTGCAGGTGCCAAACTGGCAGATGTTGGGCTCCACCTCACACTCGTTGATATCTGAGCAGAGAGCGAGAAGAGGAGGGGAGGATTAAGAGAGGTGGGGAGAGGGTGGAGGTGTTTTTTAGAGCAGATGGCTGGGTTGTACTGGGATGCTGATGGGAGAGTTTAGTCTGAGCTGGTGTGTGTGTGTGTGTGTGTGTGTGTGTGTGTGTGTGTGTGTGTGTGTGTGTGTGTGTGTGTGTGTGTGTGTGTGTGTGGTGTGTGTGTGTGTGTGTGTGTGTGTGTGTGTGTGTGTGTGTGTGTGTGTGTGTGTGTGTGTGTGTGTGTGTGTGTAACTTACCTATACACTGGTCGTTCTGCACCTCGTAGCCAGGAGGACAGATACATCTGAAAGATCCGTCCAGGTTCTGACAAGTTCCTGGAGAGCAGGTGCCGGGGAGGCTCACACACTCATTGATATCTGTGGAAAGATTCGAAAAGAATATATGTGTTTAAGTCTCTGTACTGAAGACAAATGGTACTGAAGGAAATCTTGGGATGCAACTAACGATAACATTCCTTCATTGCTTGAATCGATTGGTCTATAAACTGTTGTTAATTACTGTATGGAAACAAAGTCCAAAGGCGAGTCTTGTTGCCTCAAAAATGGAAAGATTCTCGCTTCAAAATGACTTAAAATGGACAGAGGGAATCCCCATAGTTGAGGGGCTGAAACCAACACCTACTACATTTCTGCATGAACAATTATTTAAACGATTTGAGCAATTTTCAAAACAGTTGGCAAAATCTTCTTTCGATCAACAAATAATTGATCGTAATAAGTGTTGAAGCTGTAAAGAAAAACGTATAAATACTCCACCCTGCTCTTATTGATCTTGTCTATTTAATGCCTGACTTACCGACACAGTTCTTCCCGTCCGGAGTGTTCTCGTAGCCCTCGTGGCAGAGACACTGGAAGGACCCCAGCCCGTTGATGCACTGCCCGTTCCTGCACACCTGACCCTGCAGAGCGCTGCACTCGTCGATGTCTGGAGGATAAACATGTCAAAGGTTAGGCATCTGAATTCTGACCTCCTTTAGAAACAGTAGTAGAGGTTAACAGGTGCAATACATCCTGAAAATATTGGCTAGTGTATACGTTTCTTTCTAAAACTGAAGAGTCAAAACAAAGTCTGATTTAGGTCTGAATGTTTCCCAAATGTAATACAACTACAGAGAAGGTTTATGTTAAATGACTTGCACAGCCATTATATTACAAATCCAATTACGGCCTAAGTTTTAGATGCATTTTAGGACTTTTTAAGTATCTTGTGGTCCCTGGTGAATGATCCGTACCCATGCAGTCGTTGTTGTGTGTGAGCTCGAAGCCGGGGAAGCAGAGGCAGTTGTAGGAGCCCACCGTGTTCTTACAGGTGCCGTTACCACACGGCTGTCTGTCACACTCATCGATGTCTGGGAAACACAGAGAGAAACATATTTAGACAGAAAAAACAGGCAGATATAGGAAGTGTGCATCGTGTGGTTGCTACTGAGCAGAGATGGCAAAGGCAAAAGTAACACATCCTTTACTCAAGTAGAAGTACAGATACTCGTGTTTAAAAATACTCTGGTGAAAGTAGAAGTACTGACTAAACTTCTTTACTCAAGTCAAAGTAAAGAATTTTGAAATGTACTTCAGTAAAAAGTACCCATAGCTAGCAGCTGTTTTAAAGAGTACCTGACCTCCCTTTATGTTAAAAGAACAATAATGTCATTGTTAGCTAATGAATGCTGAACAACGGCAACATGACAACGTTTCCATTGGTCCCTCTTCTTTAGAGAAGACCAGGAAATGATGGATACACGGATCGTGTTCAAATCAATAGGCACGCAATGACTCTAAAGAATAATGATCACGCATCAAACACACATTCAGACTAAAGGAACCAGCTGTTTGGAAAATGAGAGAAGTAGAAAGTACAGGTATTTGAGTTCAACATGTAAGAAGTAGAAAGTACAGGTATTTGAGTTCAACATGTAAGAAGTAGAAAGTACAGGTATTTGTGTTCAAAATGTAACAAGTAGAAAGTAAAAAGTCGTCAGAAAAATAAGTAGTGGAGTAAAGTACTGATACCAGAATAATTTTCTTAAGTACAGTAACAAAGTATTTGTACTCCACTACTTCCCACCTCTGGTAACAACAAGCTTTTTACCGGATCTTACCAGAAAGGAACCAGCTGTTTGGAAAATGAGAGAAGTAGAAAGTACAGGTATTTGTGTTCAAAATGTAAGAAGTAGAAAGTACAGGTATTTGTGTTCAAAATGTAACAAGTAGAAAGTAAAAAGTCGTCAAAAAAATAAGTAGTGGAGTAAAGTACTTGTACCAGAAAAATGTACTTAAGTACAGTAACGAAGTATTTGTACTTCACTACTTCCCACCTCTGCTACTGAGTAACTCTGCAGGATGACATGCAACACAGTGTGGTGTATCTCAGTAACGCTTGACGTTGTTTCTCGTGTCGTGTTTCTCACCCATGCACATGGTCTGGTCGGCAGTGGCCTTGAACCCGTTCTGGCAGATGCAGCGGTAGCTCCCCTGCGTGTCGATGCACTCTCCATGGCTGCACACGTTAGGGATCTCCTGGCACTCATTACGGTCTGAAAATCAAAAAAGAATTAAAGTTATTAATGTATCAGTAAAAGGGATGCAACATTTAAGTATTGTAGTTAATGTCATAATGATGCCTTCAAACACACACTCACACACATATAAAGACACATTCATACACTTGTTTTAAACATTTTTAATTTGAATGTTATTGTTGTTTTAATACATGTTGTTCTATTCGATTTTGCACTTGTCTTTTTGTTTGTATGTTAACGAATTCTAACATTATTTAGGTGGAGGCTGCAATGGGCTTTCTGCCTCTTCCTGCACTTTATATAATTTATTATCGGTTATGTTTGTGTACATTTATAATGTGTTTTATCTTAAATCATAGAAACTAAATTAACAACGATATGAAAAACACAAAAGCTAACATTTCCTAAACTGTTTTATTTTCTATGACGAATCACTTCAAAACTACTGATAGATATTTTGTTAATCAACTAAATTACTATTTCTTCAGCAGGATTCTCCCTTTATGTTATGTGTTTTTATGCTTTTTATAATCTTATAGATTCTTATATGATATTTTCTATTTGTTTCAGCGGGTGTTTCTCAATGTCGAGGAAGGCTGCTCCAGAGCCACTATTTCAAGCATCGAGTGCCGCCGAAGGACTGTTCCAATGTCCAGCATACTTGGAATTCTACCGAGCCCGGCGTACTTCGTTTGGAGAAATTTCGAGGCTGCACATGTGTAGACTCCGCGGTCTTAAAATCCCCACAATGCTTTGCGCACGGACCAATTTCCCCAAATCTGTGGCGTTAAATATAAGGCGGGGCCTCTCATATGACGCACACCTGCACACTTGCTCGCCTGTTCCACTCTTCGTTTTTCCCAATGCCAGGAAGGATTCTTGCCTCGCTTCTGAAGCAAGTGACTCGGAAGACATGTGCTACCAAGCAAGCGTACTCGACATTGAGAAACACCCAGCATGTCCAGGTCCTGCGATAAATTAAAGTTGTATCTCTTGTTTTGGTGTCTTTCGTTTTGAATATTCAGACATGAACATTTCACGACAGTAAAATAATAAACAGGGTGGGTTAGTAGTAAAACAGCTCACCTCAGCGGATTCTCCTCTCTCCAGTGAATGCAAATTAAAATCCATCAACAAGAGATGCTTAGTTTGACATGTTCCCCACTTCACCAACACAAAACACCTCCATGGCATGTTGAGATAAGATGCCCCAGTAAGACCTCCACTCACCCACACAGGCCCCGCTGGGCGACAGTTTGAATCCCGGCGAACACTCGCAGCGGTAACTTCCTGGGATGTTGATGCAGTTGGCGTTGCGTTGGCACAGGTTGTCCCCGCTGTTACACTCATCAATATCTAAACGAAGGGGGGGGGGGGGGAGAAAAACATCAATCACTGAATCCATAACGGTCTGCTCCGGAGAAAAAACACAACCTTCTTCATTCAGAGGAGTCACCATACTGTCTTTACAACGACATAACTCAGCTTTCACTGCACTGAGTGGACTGGAGTTAAAGGGCCTGAGTGAGTGGAGCTGTATTAATGTGTGTGTTGTGGTCATGTGACTGTATAGGTGTGATTTAGTGCAACAAAGGTGGTGCATGTGTGTGCCAGGAGTTAGTACATGATATACTCTATGCCAGGAGATTTAAAGAACCTGCTGGCCCTTCCTTCCATCACCTTAGTTCACTTGTTTAGTGTTAGGTCAATACTTGTGTTGGAGAAAATACAAGGTGTCTTCTTTAGTATGGGTTTTCTGATGGGCATGATACTGTGTGTGACCTCGCAGCTGCCTCTTCGTAGATAGGAGAAGGCAGGGCATAATTCATGTTGTTGATTCCAACGAGAGCTCACACACTTTGTCTCCTCTCCTCTTTGAGGGGCAAAGAGCAACACTGCCTTTCCAGAGATGTCTCGACGCCTTCCCGACACCTGATGACGCTCAAATCGATTTACGACACTGTTTGGTACCTCCTGACTTTAGACTATATAAGCTTGATGTTACTTCCTGCTGAGCAGCATACCTCATGTGTGTGAGTTGAACCATATCCTTTGTATGTGACTCTGCTCCTTCTTGCAAGAATCAATTACTACCTGACTATTGACTCTCATCCCGGTGTCGAGTGATATTTTACTAACAACTTGGATGCCTGTAGATACTTGGTTATAAAGCAAGTTGAGCAAAGCTAGCCTAAAATTGCTCTTTGACATAACTTTGGATTAGACCAAATACATAAAAAAGGTCCGTCCTGAAGCAGCTATCAGTCTTCAAGTGAGTCAAAGACAGAAATACTACTACTGCTGCTATTCTATGCCTTCTATGGATCACTAATGTTTGCCCCTCTTGGAAAGCTTGCCTCCCACTTTAAAAACGTATGCTTCATTATATGCAATAGCCTAAAATAATGAAGCAGCAGGGTCAAAAGAGGAGATACAAAGTGCAGAGGTAAAAGTGTGAGACAAAGAGGGAAAGACAAATAGTAAGAGAGAGTACGTCTTTGTATCATAACTCTGTGCACATTGTCTTATAATAGGGAAACTGGTTTTTGAATCCCAGGTAATGACCGTTATCATTTATAGCATTCGACAGAAACTTAACGTGTGTCGTACCTTCACAGATGAGCAGGATGTTGTTGTAGCTGAAGCCCATCGGACACTCACAGCGGAAGCTCCCGATCTGATTGATACACACCCCGTTGGCACAGATGCCGGGGATCTCCCTGCACTCATCAATATCTGCACAAAACACACACAGCAGATATTATGCACAATGTAACAGCAGCACTTTTTCACAGTTTTTACTGATTGCGAAAAACACATTTTAACAACAAGGCAATTGAAAGTGCTTTACGACAAACATTGAAAGCATTTAGCATTCTGTCGCAACACAAACACCTGGTGAATAATATCGAAATACATTTCAAATAATGATCTTACCGACGGGCTTTCCAGTGTGGATGTCGATGATGAAGCCAGGAGCCTGGTTCCCACACAGCAACTGGTACTCAGCTGAAACACACAGGAAACACTCAGTGAATGCAAGTTATTGGGCAGTGATATTTCAACACTTGTTTGAACGTCATTTTATCAGTTTCTTTATTTTATTTAGTCTTAGTCCTGTGTCAAATGTCTTTGCTGGTTTTGATCATGTTCAGTGATCAGTTGCAGACCATTTACATGCATTAAAGGTCTCCTATTATACCACACCCGCCTCACCCGCAAAGCACTCAGCATTGTGGGTGACTCCACCCACCCCTCCAACAGCCTCTTCAGCCTCCTGCCTTCAGGAAGAAGGTTCCGCAGCCTCAGCTCGGGCACCGTCAGGCTGGGGAACAGCTTCCTCTACCAGGCGGTCAGGATGCTGAACTCTCTCCCCTCCCTACCTCCCTCTCTCCCCCCTCTGACATCTCTCTCCTGAACTCTCCACCCTGCCTCCGACCTTTCTCCCCTGCCCCAAATGGTCCTGGACTCTAACCCACACACACACACGCCCTTTTTGTTTTTTTGTTGTTGTTTGATGTATATATGTCACACTGTAGGACCTCGAGAAACGATATTTCGAGATTTCTGGATGTACAACATGTAGAATTCTTGACAATAAAGCTGACTTTGACTTTTTGACTTTGACTATTATACTGTTTTTCATCAATATATTATAGGTCTCAGATATATACAGAACCTGTCTCTGATTGGCTGAAACACCAAACAGATCATTGCAGCATTACCCATAATCCCCTCTGTTTCAAAAGTGCTGATTCTCTGTCTGTTACTTTAGATGAAAATAAGGAGCCCCTCCCCACGCCCCTCTGAGAGACCTTTGGTTAAAAAGAACTCAATGGTGCTCTCGGAGGAGATTCAGGTGATAAGGGGGGGGTTACCTTGGTTGCTGATTGGCTAATGGTTACACAAGCCAAAACATCGTTATGACATCATAAAGTGACCAAAATCTGATCAGCTCATTTTCAGACAGGTTTTTATAGAAATGGATCAGGACAAAAAGAGAGAGAATCTTTGTTCCTGAAACTTTCAGAGTCTCTTTCCACAGAGGGGACACATGTTGATGTAGAAGAGACATGAAGAAGAGGGGACACATGTTGATGTAGAAGAGACATGAAGAAGAGGGGACACATGTTGATGTAGAAGAGACATGAATAAGTGGAATTTGCATAATAGGTGACCTTTAACACTAGTTCAAAAAAGACATCTTCATTGAGACTCACTGGTGGCCGGAGTGGGACAGGACTCGCAGGGTTTGTTCCAGGCTTTCCCCACGTTGTAGGCGCAGCAGCACATCTTCTTGGTCATGTTGAAGGACAGCTCGTTCTCACAAGTGTCGTTGTAGTTTCGGTAACACACACTCTTCCTCATGTCTGCATACAAAGAGGACACAGCGCTTTAATATCCAACACCTGAAAGCCAGCACTTTAAATGTGTATTTCCAGTAGATATATAGATGGATAGATAGATAGATAGAGAGATAGATGGATATATAGATAGATAGATAGATAGATAGAGATAGATGGATAGATAGATAGATAGATAGATAGATAGATAGATAGATAGATAGATAGATAGATAGATAGATAGATAGATAGATAGATAGATAGATAGATAGATAAGATAGATAGATAGATAGATAGATAGATAGATAGATAGATTAGATAGATAGATAGATAGATAGATAGATAGATAGATAAATAGATAGATAGATAGATAGATAGATAGATAGATAGATAGATAGATAGATAGATAGATAGATAGATAGATAGATATTAGATTCATTATTAAATTATTTTGTTACAGAAGCAGTGTGTTCAACATTAAAATACAAATACTTAAAAAGTGAAATAGAGAATTAACAATTACAAATTAAATGAAAAGGAAAAATAGTATATACAAAATAAACAGTATCAAATATTCTGGATAATAAAAATGTTCTTAAAAAATTCCAAAATACTACACGATGAGAGTAATACTGTCTGTTATGTGAGATTGCACCTTTGGGAACGCCTGGATGGAATTTCGCTGTACTCTGTGTAGTGACAATAAAGGAATCTAATCTAATATTTTTGTTGGAAGATTCTCCCTCTCACCCATGCAGTTGTTTCCTCCGTTGACCTGCATTGTACTCGGGGGGGCACACACAGGTGTAGTTTGCCCAGCGTGTTGTAGCAGGTACCCGGTTCCACAGATCCCGATGTGGGTGGTTGCACTCATCGATATCTGCAGGTAACGATAAGATAAAGACGATATGAGGTGAGGGCGGATGGGTTAATAATCCTGTAAAGTGATCCTGATGATGTGACCTCTCAGTTCTTACCCTCACAGATGCGGGTCTCCTCGTTCAGGTAGTATCCGGCAGGACATTCACACTGGAAACTCCCGAAGGTGTTCAGACAGTTTCCACCCTGACACAGACCTGGTAGCTCCTGGCACTCATCGATATCTGGAGAGGAATTACAATCCATATACGTTTATTTCCGGCACTTTAATCGACACAACCCAAAGTAAACAATGAGTCGTTCCTTTGAAAACAGGGAAAAACCAAAGCCAACTTTGAAGCCTGATTACATCAAATCTTTTCACGTCATAATATAGGACAATTCTGAATAAATGTATACAATGATAATGGAAGAAAGAACCAGAATAATATCTACAGTATATGAATCAAATATTCCCGAAAAAACTATTGTTCAGACCTCAGCTGTATGACAACGTTTATTTCTGGCATTTTAAACGTCACAAAGCCAACTTTGAAGCCTTCAAGTTTATTACATCAACTTTTTTCACCGTCATAATTTAGGACAATTCTCAATAAATGTATACAATGATAATGGAAGAAAGAACCAGAATAATATATATATGCATTAAATATTCCCAAACAACTAGTGTTCAGACCACAAATTAGCATTTCCTTGTCAAAAGTACTCCATAAACAAACCCTTAGGCTCTTCTGTAGCACAAACATGTACTGTTACTCATGTATTTTTTATGTACATGTTTGAAATTCTGTAATAGGAGTTTAATTTGAGTGTTTTGCTGTACATTTTGTAATAGTATAAAAAACTGTTAAACAGAGAAAGAAGGATTGTTTACCTTCCAAGATGACAGTGATGGGGTTGGGTCTGAATCCCTCTCCTCCTGGACAAAGTGTCTTATACTCCGCTACAGAGAGGACAAAACGCACCACAGATTAGTGTGTTATTCATTTCAGAAAGGGGGGAAAACAGGAAGTTGAAACCCAAGTTAACCATCAGATCTGAGTAACTAGGCCTTAAACTCAGCAGTGAATCTTATAATAGGGCAATGGATCAGGCTGTGGTACGTACTGGAGTTGGGGGCGGGGCAGAGTTCACAGGGGTTTCCCCAGGCTCCTCCCAGGGAGCAGCAGCAGGAGGCGCGGGTCACCCCCACTCCGATCTCCGCGCTGCAGGAGATTCCTCCGTCACCGCGGGCCAGAATGTCCAGGAAGCAGTTCCCAACACGAGTGTCTGAGAACGTCACATATTCAGAATCAGAAACAGGTTTATTACCAGGTAGGGTGACACGTACGAGGAATTTGACTTGATGTCGTGGTGCTTACATAAAAAATAAACATACAATACATGTTTATTTCTTGTGTCTTAATTTCTCTTATGTACATTGCCTTGTGTTTTTATGCTGCTGCAACGCAAACATTTCCCAAATTGGGATCAATAAAGTACCCGTCTGTCTGTCTGTCTGTCTGTCCGTCCGTCTGTCTATCTGTCTGTCTGTCTATCTATCTGTCTGTCTGTCTGTCTGTCTGTCTATCTCACTGTCTGTCCGTCTGTCTGTCTGTCTGTCTCACTGTCTGTCCGTCTGTCTGTCTATCTATCTGTCTGTCTGTTTGTCCATCTGTCTGTCTGTCTGTCTGTCTGTCCGTCTGTCTCACTGTCTGTCCGTCCGTCTGTCTGTCCGTCTCACTCACTGTCTGTCCGTCCATCTGTCTGTCTGTCTCACTGTCCGTCCGTCCGTCTGTCTGTCTGTCTGTATATCTGTCTGTCCGTCTGTCTATCTATCTGTCCGTCCGTCCGTCCGTCCGTCCGTCCGTCCGTCCGTCCGTCCGTCCGTCGTCCTGTCCGTCCCGTCGTCCGTCCGTCCGTCCTCGTCCGTCTCGTTCCGTCCGTCCGTCTGTCTGTCCGTCCGTCTGTCTGTCTGTCCGTCTGTCTGTCTGTATATCTGTCTGTCCGTCTGTCTGTCTCACTGTCTGTCTGTCCGTCCATCTGTCTGTCTGTCCGTCTGTCTGTCTGTCTGTATATCTGTCTGTCCGTCTGTCTATCTATCTGTCCGTCCGTCCGTCTGTCTGTCTGTCTGTTTCACTGTCTGTCCGTCCATCTGTCTGTCCGTCTGTCTGTCTGTCTATCTGTCTGTCTGTCCGTCCGTCTGTCTCACTGTCTGTCTGTCTGTCTGTCTGTCTGTCTGCCCGTCTGTCTGTCTGTTTCACTGTCTGTCTGTCTCTCTGTCTGTATGTCTGTCTGTCTGTCTGTCTGCCTGCCTGCCTGCCTGCCTGCCTGCCTGCCTGCCTGCCTGCCTGCCTGCCTGTCTGTCTCACTGTCTGTCCGTCCGTCCGTCTGTCTATCTATCTATCTATCTATCTATCTGTCTGTCTGTCTCACTGTCTGTCCGTCTGTCTATCTATCTGTTCGTCCGTCTGTCTGTCCGTCTGTCTGTCTATCTGTCCGTCCGTCTATCTGTCCGTCCGTCCGTCTGTCTGTCCGTCTGTCTGTCTATCTGTCCGTCCGTCTATCTGTCCGTCCGTCCGTCCGTCCGTCCGTCTGTCTGTCTCACTGTCTGTCCGTCCGTCCGTCCGTCCATCTATCTATCTATCTATCTATCTATCTATCTATCTATCTATCTAAAAGTAAAACAAAAATTAAAAACACAGATAGAGAACTAGAAACATATTACAAATAATAAAAAATATAGTAAAATATAACAGTATTTACATAGAAATGGAATGGAATAAAATATGGAACAAAGATCGGCAGTAATACAAATAAGAAAACAGATATTGTTGTGCATTAATGTAATTCAAGATCAACACGCAGGACTCTAACCTACCGTCAACTGCTTTACTTCTGCCAAATACATGAGATATAGTTCATCATAGAGTACTGCTTAATGGAGGAGACCCACATGGTGTCCCTCATTATGATCAGCTTATTACAGGAGGTTTCTGACTCACCCACGCAGCCCACTCCGGTGGGGTTGAGCTCGAAGTCAGCGGGGCAGTTACACAGGTAGCTGCCCGGCGTGTTCACACACAGGCCGTTGATGCAGTTCACAGGGTCCGCACACTCGTTAATGTCTGCAACACACAGAGACAAATCAGGTTACAGACACCTTCCTGACAAGTATGTTGAGCAACTCCAGAAAATGAAGGGACTCAAAATGTAGAACTCTTACATCTTGAATATATTCTGTCTAATAATTGTGTAGCTGTACTACTTAATGATTTATAATCTTGTTTGATGTCACACACTAACTTTTTAGTTTGAAGGTAGACTGATAATGAATATGTTTTTGCTTGATTTATGTTTTTCACTTTTTCTTTTTGACTTTTGTTGACAACATGACATTAGTTTTTGCTGAAAACACTTATGGATAAATACGACATCTACATGTTTCTGTTATTTTTGTTATGTTTTTGTAGTGCATGTTTTGCATTCAAGAACAAAATTCAATGCAACAAAAACAGAGAAATGGAGGGACTAAACAGATGATTGTAGACTATGCATATCATAGATATCTTTCGTCAAATAATTTAATCTGGAAATGCAATACATAAATGAAGATGTTGTGGTCGGGGAACATCAGCTGAGTCTGTTCTGTGTCTGATCTAAGTGATGTTAGAGTTTCAGTGCAGCACTAACCCGTGCAGTTTCCTCCGCTGCGGTCCAGCTCGTATCCGTCGTCACACACACAGCGGAACATCCCGGGGAGGTTCTGACACGTTCCGAACACACAGATGTTCTGGAAATTACACTCATCGATGTCTGTGGCAAACACGAGATACAATGTTAGTTAGAGCATGAAAAAAGCACAGTAAGAGGGATAACATGTGACGGAGTGAGTGCAGCACCTTGGCAGGCCTTGCTGTCCTCGGTGGGGGTGAAGCCCATCTCACACTCGCAGCGGTACCCCCCCGGAGCGTTCAGACACTGGCCGTTCTCACACAGGTTCACGTTGTCCGCACACTCGTCCATATCTGAAACAGAGGGGCCAGCGTGTTATAAATAAAGCTCTGTGCATATGTTGTTATGAGCGGTCAGAAAAATCAACGTGCATTGTTGGGAAAATACTGAATGTTCTCTTCCAATATCAGAGTCCACATGATAACAAAGGTATCCCGACTGTAGCTGGGTACATGACAGGATGTATGATTACCTAGAAGAGCATCAGGACTGTTTTAGGCATGTGATAGCTATGTGATTAACATGATGGTTCAGCCTCTATGGAGATAGACATATGACAAGCATGCTCATTTCTGACGTGGAGCTCATCTGAACTAAACATTGAATACTGCTTTCTATTCCTCCATCTTGTGACTGTGTAACTCCCTCTCTTGTATTTAAGGCTTGTGAAGGACACTATTTGTCCCATGTAACCTCTGTATGTGATGACTACTTCCATTCTTGCAAGGATAATAAATACATCCTGATATCGAAGCTCAAGCCGGTGACGAGTGATATTTTTCCTAACACGCATCCACATTAATGATCAGATATCACCGTTTATCTAAAGAAAAACTGACAAAATACTAAACAAAACTCTGAACTCTTAAACAAAAGATTCAAAGCCATATATCTTGGGTACATTTTCTCATCCAGAATTCACCATGCGGTCTCTTTCGTGCGGTTAATAAATTGTTCGCCTTCCACTCATCGTGAGCACCTGTCACCTGTCGTCTAAGGGCGAAAACCACGCCTATGTGACGCCACCATAATAATACATTGATAGTCGGCATCAATCAAAACAATAATAAAACATCATATACGAATCATTCATAATATTTCATTATAAATAGAAATAAGATAGAAATGGCTTCAACACATGTATAGCAGCTAGTGTCGAATTAGGATTTATCTGAACGTTTGGGATGTTACCGGAGCAGAAGAAGCCGTCCCCGTTGAAGCCCTCCTTGCAGGTGCACCTGTAGGACCCCGGCGTGTTCACACAGTCTGCGTTGGGGTTGCAGTTGTGATCCTCTGCAGAGCACTCGTCCTGATCTGCAGGGAGAGAGAGAGGAAGGAAGACTTAATAGCCGATCTCAATATGGTTTTCATTTTGTTAAGTGTTTAACCTGATTTCTCTCTTTTGTCCCCTTTCAATAACCCTGAACCAGATGTGTGTATTGTATTCAGACTGTACCTCACTGCATTAACATTTTAACTCAAATAACTGCAACATTACACATTGAATAATATATGTATATAGAATCCTATGTTTAGATTTCTTTAGCAGAAGGTGGGTCTAATATAGTATTTTCCAACTCATTCTGTTTATCTTATGTTGTGTATTCTATAGATATATCTATATCTTTATACTGTTTATTTTATTGTTATTGTTTTATATGTATAACTCATGTGCAATGCATTTTAACAAGACAATTTCCCCAAAACGTAATTGTTTTACTTCAAACTTTAATTGATTTTTAACGCCATCTTCACAAGATGACAAACTCCTGCAATACCAGCGCTCTTGCTGTTCCACAAATATGATAGATTATGCTTATACTTTAAACCACAATGTTGTGTCTTTATTGTGTCTGTGTACTTGTTTTACAACATACAATGGACCTGTACTCACCCACACACTTGAGGCCGTCTCCCAACCAGCCGTCTCTGCAGCGACACTTGAAGCTGCCCGGCACGTTGATGCAGGCGGCGTGCGCGTCGCAGTTATGAGCTCCGATCTCACACTCATCAACATCTGGAGAGACATACGAAACAATTAGCTTCCACACACATTCTGGTACTGGCTATTTCCCTTTAAACATCAAACGAAACAATGTAAATGAAAATAAGGAACATTGGCCTTTTTTGTTGTTGTTGTTGTGAGATAGTTCTTTATTTATGGCATGCATAGAGGTTAAACATTTGGCTTTTTGCTTAGCAGGTAGTTTTAATTCTATAAGTAGTATTCCATTAATAAATGATCGTTTAAAAAAAATCTGTAGACCTGGAAATACTTTATGCATGAGTGAACTGTCTCAACACTCGTCTCAGATAAGGACAAAGACCCAGTGTGTGTGTGTGTGTGTGTGTGTGTGTGTGTGTGTGTGTGTGTGTGTACCTGTGCAGCCCGTGGATCCCTTCTTCACAAAGTATCCCAGCTGACAGTGGCAGATGAAGGAGCCTTTGGTGTTCTCGCAGTCGCCGTGGAGACAGATGTTTGGGTTCAAGTCACACTCGTTCACGTCTAGACACACAAGTGGAGACACACAGCGATAATATGTGAATGGTGTTGTCTTTAGAGATCACACTGACAGATAATGAGACTGACACAGGGAGTCCCATGTGGACAGAAAGGAACCTCAGTTAACAAAAGAAAATGATTTGCAAAGTTAGATTTAATTTTAGAGTTTTGCTTGTCCTCTCACCGATACACGTCCTCATGTCCATGGAGGCCATGAAGCCGTCGTAACACAGGCAGCGGTATTCTCCGGGGATGTTGGTGCACTGTCCTCCGTCACAGATGTCCGGAGACTCCTCACACTCATCGATATCTGACAGGAAGAGAGGAGGATACATTTGAATAGGCTATAGCTGAAACACTATGTAAAACCCCAACCCTTCAACTTAAGGAACCCCTTTTCTTCCATTCAGTCAACTTCTAACCCCTGACCACAGACAAAACTAATGGGTATTTGTTATTATGTTCAAGGCATAACAATTACAGTACAGAACAACTGATAAACTGGTCAGATAAACCAAATAGTGAATGTAATTACTGCGGGAAATGCGTTCAAAATGATCATTTGGATACAGATCATTTCCTGTGAATATCACGTTAGAGATTCATTTAATGAACTTTTAAAACAGTTATCTGTGTAATAATGTAATGTAAAGTTGTCATACACTCTTTAAAATCAAGAAGGCCTTGTGCTCCCCAGTGAAGCTTTAACGTGCCCCAGTTTGGGAAGCATGTACTGTACGTTGGAAAAGGCCATACAAAACAGAAAAAGCTTCTTTTTTTTCATGGGAATAACTATCAGACATGGCATGATAGCATTGTTTCATATCTAAATAGTTTTAGTTTCATAAAAGGGGAAATTGAACTACAGCTATACTGAACACATGATGTCTGTGTTTACCTGAGCAGGTGCGCAGGTCGGGCATCAGAGCGTATCCCTCGCTGCAGCTGCACTCGTAGCCTCCCTCCGAGTTCGTGCAGTGAGTCTCACAGCCGCCGTTCATTATGGTGCATTCATCAATATCTGCGGGGAAAGGTCAACAACACTGCAGTTTACATCTAAGCCTCATTAGATAGGAGTTACAAATGCACACACACAGTAAGTCATTGCCATAAAAGAGAGAGGTTGGTTTCACTCACCCACGCAGCCCTGTTTGTCGGGGGTCCCCTGGTAACCGGTGTCACAGGTGCACTGGTACGTCCCCGGCCCGTTCACACACTGACCGTGTTTACACAGGTTGTCACTCAGCTGGCACTCATTCACATCTGACAAGGAAACAAGTCAATAATTAGGCATTGTATAGTGCAGTGCTTCTCAAACTTTTTTCAGTCATGTACCCCCTTTGAAACATTTTCTCAGTCAAGTACCCCCTGACCGACCCCGAACATTTTTGATCGAAAAAGCCTATACAAATAATTCCAATATAGTGATGTTCCCTCAGTGTGTGATATTACCTCCTTCATGCATGCATTACAACAAACTAAGGATATTTTCATTTTATGCATGAAAAAAAACGAAAAAAAATGTAAACAGATTTTTCCAAGGAGTTTTTCAACTGAAGTAATATCTGTTTAACAAACCAATGAACAAAATGATATATTATGCAAAACTATAAAATACAATACACAAATTTGACATGTTTATATGAGGACCCCCTTGGTGGTTCTAGGAATATTTTATATAAAATTGTGTTTTCTATTGAACTTATTGTACTAAGAATATTTTTGTAATCCTGCATGGTATTTTTTTTATTAACTTATTTTAGTTTTTTTTAATTTAAATCTCACGTACCCCCTGCAGTACCCCAACGTACCCCTAGGGGTCCGCGTACCCCCATTTGAGAATCACTGGTATAGAGTGTAGTGTATTGCTATTGTGCCTTTTTTGATGTGCCTTTTTTACTTTATTAAATAGAACTGATAGAACTGGACTTACATACCTGAAGAAATGTTAAAAAGGGTCACTTAAAAGTATTTTATACCCCACTTTTATTCATGTGTGTTATTGTTATTTACTTTTTAATGTTTAGAATGTGTTTCCGCTGCACTATTTCTTAATGATCTTAATGTCTTTCATTTTTGTATGAAAGCACTTTGAATGGCCTTGTTATTAAATAGAACTGAACTTAGTCTGGTCTCTTAAGTCTTTTATCTCACATACCCATGCCTTGATCTGTTCACTAGGTTTTAAAATAAAAATGGATGTGCACAGAATGATATTACACCAAGGTTGCGTTTCACTTAGGTTAAATGGATTCCTTGCGTCCCTCACTTGCGTCGTTTCCCTGCGACTAGTCCCTCCCACCAGGGAAGCATGGAGGGACGCAAGGAAACCACGAGAAGCAGGGAAATTAGTTTTAAGAGCAATGGGACGTTGTTTCCTCCGGAGCGTTTGTGATGATGCCGCACAGCTGATCGTCTGACAGCAGCCAGATCAGTGCATGCGCTGCATCGTCCAATCGGTGAGCGATACACAGTAAGGGGGCGGGGCGAGTGTATGAGGATTTCACACAAATAAGGCCACTGGGACGCTACTCAAGATGGCGCAGACAAATCAACTCCATTACACCAAGTGTGTGAATGCATAATGTGTGTGTGTGTGTGTGTGTGTGTGTGTGTGTGTGTGTGTGACCTACCTTCACACACAGATCCGTCGTTACTGAGCGCGTGTCCGGGGGGGCATTCACACTCGTAGCTTCCTTCATTGTTCAGGCAGGTTCCTCCACGACACAGCAGGGGGTTCCTCTCACACTCATCGATGTCTGTCAGCACACGTGGAGACAGGAGGGAGGGAGGACAATATTAATAAAAAGGAGGGAAAAAGTAAGTAATAGAAAAGTGAGGTTATCTTCCAAACTGTGACAAAGGTGGGTCATTTTGTATTTGTGTGTGTGTGAACTTCCAGCTCACCCATGCAGTTCTTCATCATCATGAATCCGCTCTCGTAGCCTTCGAAGCATTCGCACTCGAAGCTGCCGGGCGTGTTGACGCAGGCTCCGTTCCCACAAAGGTCGGGGGAGATGCGGCACTCATCAATATCTGAAACACAAAGACGTTGCAGAGGGACGCTCAGTAACTGCGCTCTAAGTGTGACATGAGTGTGAAATAAACGTGACTTCCCGCTCCCCTCGTACCGGTGCAGTTCCTCTCCTCGGCGGTCAGAGCGAAGCCGTTGCTGCAGCGACACTTGAAGCTGCCGATGGTGTTCCTGCAGCTCCCATGGGTGCACAGACCCTGGAACACCTTGCACTCATTCACATCTGGAGAGGAGAGACACAGTTAGCGTGGTGTAGTCTACAGAAAGACTCATTTGGTCAAGATAGTACAATTTACTGGATACATATTTGAACCTGGGAAGTTAAAGGTGGGGTAGGTCATTTTGGAGAAACCAGCTCGAGTGCGCTAGAATTTGAAAATACACAGCCGGAAAAAACCTGCCACTTCCTCACAGAGCCCCTCCTCCAACACACATGAACGCGCACATGACCAATGAGGGCACGAGATAAGTTTGTGCACAGATGGAAGGCTGACAGGCAGGTAGGCCATCCAGTTACTTTAGCCGGGCCGGCTCAGATGATTGGTCGTGCTTTTTACAGCGCCACGGCTTCCACAGATGAGGTTTTTTAATGGATTTGTTGTCAAAGCACTTCAGATATTCATTGCTATCGGGATGTTAAGAGCATTCCATGGAATATAACAAAAAGTGTATCTCGAGCCGGTTTCTCAAACTTACCTACCCCACCTTTAACAACATGTAACTAGTGGTTAGTGGAAATATAAAAGAGGGATTCAATTAGTTTAATGACAATGGCTTTTTGTTATAATTCAGTACCACATGTGAATTTGAAACTCATTTTCTGTCAAGGCCTGGCTGTTTTTCAGTTTTATTTTGAAATGTTGGCCTCCTTGTGTCTCGTCCATATGGTCTCAACTGGCCTTCCTTCCTGTGTCTGATTGTCTCATTGTGTTCACCTGTTGAACCTGCCTCCCCTGCCCAGCTGTGTTTTGTCCTGTGATTACCCTTCTGTGTATTTAATCTTGTCTTCCCTTTTGCTCCATGTTCGGTCGTCATCTTTCTCGTCGTTGTTACCAGCATTTTCCTGTTCCGGTTTTCCCTGGGCCTCAGTACTTTGTGTTCCTAGTTTTGTTCCTGTTCCCTGGTTTGTGCATGTTTTCTTTGTTTGTCCTTACCTTGGATTAAAGCTCTCTTTTTACGAGAACGTTTTTACTGCATTAGGGTCCTGCCTTACCCCAACACCCTGACATTTCCAAAAGAATCTCATGATGTGGTCACAGGTTACTACTTGTGTATGTAAAGTGTTGAGTTGAATGCTCTAGGTACCTTTGTAGAAGGGTCTTCCCGTGAGGATCTCCCCTCTGTTGGCGAAGCCGGGCCCCCGGGGGCAGATGCTCCTGTACTCCGGGGAGCTGGGTTGGGGACACTCCTCACAGTCCACCCCCCAGGCCGAGCCCACGGAGCAGCAGCACATGTCCATCCGGTATCTGCCCGGCAACGGCTCGCCACACTCATCTTCGTGCCACTTCAGGTAGCACTGCTCGCTACGCGTATCTGGAGGAGATGGTTGACATGGTGAATGGAAATGTATTTATACAAAGCTTTTCCAGTCTTTACAACCTCTCAAAGCACTTTTACATATACGGCATCATTCATCCATATACACATTCATACAGAGACAGACATTGTGCCATTCACACACATCTACTCACTGTTAGACATTATTTTACCTTTGATCGACTTATTGTTGCAGCTCTACCTGTTTCTCTACGTTTTCTCCCAATGGTACAGTGACATCTTCTCTTGTAATAATCATTTTTTATTGTAATTGAATTTCTGATTTTCATAGTTTTTAAGACCTCTCACTTCAGAAAATAGTAAAAAATGTCCCTTCTGGTTTCTCAAAAACCAAAGTAATGGCTTTAAATGTCTCCAAAGTCAAGAACTCCACACATTTCTCTTACGATATAAAGCAGGACGTCTCCATTATTGAGAGTCTTGAATCAGCATTATCTGCCATTTGTATGAACATTAGGATTACAATCATTTATCAAAAATATTTGGCGACTATTTATCTGTGGAGAGTTTATGTTTGTCCTATTAGTGCAGTGACATGACAGGCTGTAGAAATATCAGTTTCATGGGGATGTGGAGTGTGATTTCTGGGTGTTGTCGTCCTCTTACCCACACATGTGCGTCCCGTGCTGTCCAAGCTGAGGCCCTCGACGCAGTCGCAGCGGAACGAGCCCTGAGTGTTCACACAGCGGCCGTTTGTACACACTCCGGGGAACACCTCACACTCATTAATGTCTGCAGGGAGCCGGACAGTTAGAGGATTACAAGGTGAAACAGACATGAGCACTTTCCACAGAAACCTACAGGGAGGACTTTAGAGCGCATCAGAAGGACAAAGAGATGATTTGAGGGGCGTGGATTCAAACTACAGGCTCTCCACCGATCATTAAGCTTCTAAATGTTCTTACCTTCACACACCAGGCCCTTCATACGAGCGAAGCCTCGGGAGCAGGCGGTGTCTGAGGGGAGAGGAGACAAGAGATGTAGTAAAGACAATGTATCTATGAGTGCTGTTGGTAGTGCATACATTGGTTTGCCAAAATGTCATGAAAGTATAGGCCAGAATGGGAGCAATATTATACAATACAAATGATAAAAGCACTAGAGAACGACATATACAACAAACAAACAATCCTTGTGGTGTAGGAATAATCTGAAAATGTATCTCCAGAATAGGAAATTTAACTAAAACAGCCCCTTAAATCTGAACAACAACTATTAAACAGATATCCACATGTTGTTTAAAACCTCTGAGCAACATATGGCCTGCAACACATCTTCTCTGTAACGAAAATGTTGTTTCAACCATTTCCAAATCAAGACTTAAAGCTCCTGAACTTTCCCCCGAAATCAGAAGAACTCGGGAAATCAGCAATAAATGCAACATTTGTCTTGTCAAGTTATGATGTCCACAATGGTACTTTTTTCTTGACCTAATAATAATAAAAATAATAATAATGCATTACATTTTTTTTATTAGAGCGCTTTTACAGGTGCCTAAGCAGCCATACAAAAAATATTAAAATCTACGTTATCAATTTACTTGTTCCGAATTTTGTTTGGTTTTATAATAATGTATTATTAATAATTGTAAAGCAGTTCTAAATATGAAACAACTTTTAAGATGTCAATTTTGTTGATAGTAAGTCATTCGTACTGCATGACTAACATAATAACTGATTTCCTAACTAATAGCAGAATGTGTGTGTGTGTGTGTGTGTGTGTGTGTGTGTGTGTGTGTGTGTGTGTGTGTGTGTGTGTGTGTGTGTGAGGACTCACCGATCTCACAGGGGTCACAGGGGCTGCCCCAGGCGGCTCCCAGCGTGGAGCAGCACTCAGACTTCAGCGTGGCTCCGTTGATGTTGACCTCGCAGCGGTTGTCCTGGATCGTCAGCCAACACGTACTCTTCATGCTGTCTGTGGAGCGGGAGGAACGACAGAGAGGTTCACACACCTTGTTAAGTTAACACACTCTCAATGTTAGCTGTGTGTTTCCTTCAGACCTCACATATGAGTTGAGTGCAGTTTTTTTTTAAGGGGAAACACAACAGTGAATATGGTCAAATTGTTTAACTAATGAATATCACCATGAAACTTCCCCAGTGCATTACTGACATTAAGACAAGTGCTTTTGCATAACAACTTTTCTAAAATGTTATATTTGAATATGACAATTAGCTATATTTTATTACATATCTGCTCATTTGAATACATTTTCAGGGCAGAAATATTGATATTGGTTTAACCAACGTTTCAGATTATTGTTTCTTATGTAAAAATATCAGAGTCAAAGGCTTTTACTGAGGGGATTTTGGATATCTCTTTTATCACTCTGAAAATACTGTCAATAAACAGCCATGTTTTTAGGAATAAAATGCTTTATAAATGATGATTTAAATGCTCTCTGTAAAAAGCTTCAGAATATAGATAAGAGATACAATTATTTTTCAGAAAACGGCCTTTGAAGGGCTGTGAATTGGGTAAAAATAATAAACAAGTAGATATCACCATGATATCTTAATGTAAGGTTCAATACTTACTTAATTACTTTTTGTATTACAAGTTTTCTGAAACGTTATTCCTTAAAGTGAAATGTAATGCTAAGTTTTGACGGCTTAAGCAGAAAAATCCAGACACAAATAGACAAAGTTATTAAATTAAACACTTTAATGTGTATTTTAGATGTTTTTCTTTTGACTAGTCTGAAAGAAAACACGTAGAAGCAACATAGCCCAAACTTTCAAAATTGGGTAAGCTAGTGTTGCCTGTAGTGTCTCGCCTTCAATATTTTTCGTGTGCAAACAAAGCAAACAGTTAACCGCCAATGAAAGCGTAACAGCACCACCGGTGGTCAAAATGTCAAAAATATCGACAGGGTTCCCTTAACTATGGCAACAAAACACACCACAAAAACAATCAAAATGTCACCTTCAACTTTCCACGCTGCCATAAACCGTGTGAGTATTTGCCTACATGCTGAGCTAAGTAAGCCCCATGCATCATTACATTTAAACCTATGCTATTTCATTCCTAATGGCCTGAAAGAGTGTACAGGCATAGCGGTGTCACCTTTTCCCCAAAACCACAAAGCCACCCAAACACAAAACCATCATTTAGTTTCCCTCTCTTCCCCCCCGCTGAGTGATGGGCTGTGAAACACAAAACAGAAATGAACCAGACCCGAGGAATGAGTCGATGTTAGACAGTGCCGGTTCGAGTATTTATTTAGTGACTCATTCTCCTGTCCACTAACAGTACAACCTGTATTCTGTATGAGCATGTAGCTTTCTCAGGATGTTTTCCACAAAGTAGGCAACCCCCAAACAAGTGGAACATTTAACCAATACCAGATTTTACGTTTTAAATCTGGGGCGTACTTTATGAAGTAAAGTCATCTCCATGTGAACCAAGGCCATGCATGCGAGTATTTATCAAATGATTTCTCGATATGGCTCAGAGAAACCTAGACCCCCTCAGTGTTTGTGTACAAAAGTGAAACCTTGATAAGAGTACAATAGGGACTTTAGAACCAGAGTGTTCCCGTTCGAGTCCCAATCAAACCGGATAAGGAGCATAGACTGTTATTTTCAGAGGTGCCAGTTCACCTCATGGGCAATGTTGTTAATGACCGGCACCACTGCTCTTTATTTAGCGATGCAGGAATGAGTCCTGAACCCGAAAAATGAGTTAGCATTTGAGCACGAGGGAGCACTTGGGCTCCCTCGTCTGAGTTTTTGGTTAGAATGCAGAAACAAGATCTGTGGTCAACAAATCTTGAGTGTCCGAAGCTTTTATAAAGTCATCCCGCTGAATATTAGCCGCCTTTATCTTTAGCTGCCACGAAAACCCGTGAACGTAATGTAGTTCCTTTATAGCTCAATGTTAGCTTTTTGCTTCTGGCAATTGCATGTATGCTTAAACTATTATAAAAGTGGTGTTGAACTTGTAGCTTTCCTCACATTGCTGGCTAGGCGCGTTATTTTGATGCATTGGAAGGGTCCTCGTCCCCCCTCTCAGCTGAGTCGCCCCCCCTGTACCGCAACAGCTCACAGGAATGCTCACAAAATGTCTCGCAGGTTTTCATTTATTTATTTGTATTTATATTTATTTATATATGTATTGTATTTTATTTTTTTATTATTATTATTATTATAATTTTGTATTTCATTATTACATTATTGTCTAATTGTAACTGATGTATTGTGTCTTCTTGGGGTTGTTTGTTAGAAATCGCAGGGGTAATGTATTGTATTGCTGCTGTCTTTGTGTATTGTGTCTTCTAAATAAGACTTCGCTGGCCCGCCAGCAGCTTGTACAAAACGCTGAGGCGCGGCTGCTTACAGGAACCCGCAAGTTTGACCACATCACACCAGTTCTGGCTTCATGTCCATTTTAGAGTCCATTTTAAGATTTTATTGTTTGCTTTTAAATCTATTAATGGGCTGGCCCCAGAGTACATCTCCGACCTCTTACAGGTGTACACCCCCTCAAGGGTTTTGAGGTCGGCTGATCAGCTGCTGGTGATAGTCCCAAAAACAAAGAAAAAGACCAGGGGAGACCGAGCGTTCTCATCGGTAGCCCCCAGGCTCTGGAACGACCTGCCCCCTCATGTAAAATTGTCGCCCACTCTTGAAGCTTTTAAGTCCCGCCTGAAGACCCACCTCTTTTCCCTCGCTTACCAGTCAGTCTGAGCTATACCTATTTGTATGCTTTTACTGTCTGTCCATAGCCTTTATGTGCCTTGTATTTATTCTTATGTGTGCTTTTTATCTATTCGTGTAATATTATATTTTATTATAATGTTATGTTCACTTTGGAAAACCCTCTGTTTTTAAACTGTGCTATATAAATAAAGTGGATTCGATTGAATTGGATTGAAAATCGCAAAAATAAATCATATATTAAAAAAAAAAAGAAAAAAAAGTGGCGTTTATATGTCGAAATTATCCCGCTAAAGAAAACATGTAAGTATCACAAATGTGTGTTTGCCACGGAGCCTTTTTTCAACGCAATATTACAAAATCCAATGGAGAAATCCCATTGGCTTACAAAGATACAGTAAGTCACTGCACCCCTCTTTAATAGCAAGGGTTAAATGGAAAGACAAAATGTCACTTTATGTGCAATGCTGTGAAAATGTGAGTAATGGGGATTTCATACAACAAGACTTTTGAACCAATTGTCACTCGTCGTCATGTCTTAGTAATGATATATTTATCTGAAGTAGATCTAAGGATCCTGGAGGTCTTCAGAATCAGAATACCTTTATTGGTCCCATAGACGGGAAATCAACTTACCCACGCAGATGGTGTTGGTGGAGTCCAGCTTGCTCCCGTGGGTGCACTCACAGTTGAAGGACCCGGCCACGTTGCGACACGCTCCATTGATGCAGGGGCTGGAGTCGCACTCGTTGATATCTGGAACGTGCAAACACACACCTTAGGTCAAGGCTGATTCAAATAGTTCATCATCATCATCAGTCAATCCTCACAGTGAATACAGAGCTAAATCCCAGATCAAATGCACGCTAAAGGGTCTTTAAAAATGTTTTTTCTCTCAGTGATTGTGCCGTTATGTTAAATGTTTGTTTTTCATGCATTGTGTCTTGATATTTGTCTATGTTGATGTTATTATGGAGCTGCTGTGATGCAAGTCAAATTTCAGACTTGATCATTAAAGTATTATCGTATCACAATTTGGCAATGTGTGTGTGAGTGTGTGTGCCGCATCTCCATGAGCCACATGTTGACTAGAAACAGTCAATACAACACATCCAGTAATAATGTAACTTCCTAATGACAATCATGTGAGTGTGTGTCAGAGGGAATGTGTGTGTGTGTGTGTGTGTGTGTGTGTGTGTGTGTGTGTGTGTGTGTGTGTGTGTGTGTGTGTGTGTGTGTGTGTGTGTGTGTGTGTGTGTGTGTGTGTTTACCCTCGCAGGTCTCTGACTCAGGTTTAAAGATGAATCCTTTAGGACAGGAGCAGGTATAGGAGCCAGGGGTGTTTCTGCACAGTCCGTTGTCACAAAGCAGGCGGTTCACATTACACTCGTTGATGTCTGCAGGGAGGCGAGAGAAGGCGAGGGTTCGAAAATAGGAAAAAAGTCATGTGAGGTTTGAGAAATGTAGAGGGTTTATTGCGTAAACCAGCCCTTTAAAGCCAGACTGTGTAGCTTTTGCTGTAACAAAAATAAATTACAAGTTCTCTTACATTAACATAAGTTGAAATAATATGAAATATTAACACACTTTTGTCATTTTAATCACTAATTGCTGCTACCTGGAGCCAAGAAAAGCCATTTAAAAAGTATGCAATGTCATCATAATGTAGTCTTCAGGTCGTGGTGAAAAGGGCGGGGAAATCACTACTGCCATATTTAGTGGGCCACATGACCAGCATATACACTAGAAGGAGAAGCTATGAAACTTTGTTGGCGTTAAGACTCATAGACTTATAATAAATACATGATTTGCTAGTATGTTAAATGTGGGTTAAAGCTCCTTGGTGCTTGCTTGAGCTAGTAGCTTAGTACGGCTAATGTTAGCTAATGTTACCAAACCTTTCAAAGTTACCGCTGTAAAATAAGATGGCTCTTCCTTGCTTTTTACACTGTTGTAGCAATTACCTGTATAACTTGTGGATACAGTGGGGGATATTCAAACAGAGGTACATTTACTTTAACACAGAAACATGGCTAACTATGCTAGCCAGTGACTCCACTTGACTCACCAACACAGTTCTTGCCGCTGGTGTCAGACTCGTATCCGATGTTACAGATGCAGCGGTAGCTTCCTCTCAGGTTCTCACAGATGCCGTTCTGACAAATGTCCGGGTCCAAGGCACACTCATTGATGTCTAGGAAAATACAAACATTATATAGATACATAGGCTACTGATTTGAACTAGCACTGTGGAAACATTCTAACCCTAACCCTTTCACATGAGCAACAAACTCACCTCTGCCATCAGCTGTTATGCCGATACCACTGCTGCAAACAGCCTGGAATTCAGCTGAAAGTAGAAATTGTGGCTTTAGAAAAATGTACCAAGACTTCAGGGTTAAACAGAATAAATCAGATTAAAGATTGTACCAGAGTTTCTGGAGGGGCAGGGATTGCAGGGCTCTCCAAAGCCATGTTCAGCGTTAGCGCAGCAGCACTCAGACTTGGTGACCGCACCGGGGAACGGTCGAGAACATGTGCCCATCTTAATGGCGCCATAACAGGTGGTCCTCATGTGTGTGTCCACACACACTCTCCCATCCACATCGATGGCCAGGCCTGGAGGACACTCGCAGCGGAAAGAGCCCTCGGAGTTGATGCAGCGGCCGTTCATACAAATGCCAGGAGTTAGACACTCGTCGATATCTGATGGAGAGAGGAAACACAATTTATACATCACGTCTCGGATTGACTGAAAGAGAATTCCTCAAGACAGAAAACATGCGAAGGATTTTATAAACAATTAATCTTTTATAGAGTATGTTTTCTATTATTCCAACCTATAGGTACAAAAAACGTCTACAACTACATCTCAAACATATTGAATTATGCATGTCGCTGTTTTTTCATAGGAATAGCTTACAAGCTTAACATTTTTACTGAATAAATACAATTAGATGCTAAGATTTAATCAATTTTAAAATACTTAAACATATGACCCACACATATAAACAGGGAATCAAAGAAAGCTTGATAAGGACACATGTAGGTATCTGAAATGTAGAATGATCTAAATTGCTATGTGTTGTATTTAAGATGTCCTACTTCCTACTCAGCAAAGCTGTCGATGTCTGGACTTTCTGGATTATTTCAGAGGATGTTGGACTTCTAACACAGGCCCAACACTTCAAGTCTGTGTTTGCTCTTTATAAACCTTCCTACCTGTGCAGTAGCGTCCGTTAGGTGCTAAAGCGAAGCCCGGTTTGCAGATACACTTGAAGCTGCCGTCCTCGTTGATACACATGCCATTGAGACACATGTTGGTGGTGGCGCACTCATCGTGATCTGGACAGAAATAAGAGAAGGAGAACTTGAGTCAAGGGAGGCTGTGGCTCAGTGGGGAGTGTGCTGGACTTGGAATCAGGGGGCAAGTTCGAGTCCCACTGCAGTCAGCATGTCGTTGTGTCCCTGGGCAAGACACTTCACCCCAAATTGCTCCTGTGGGGATTGCCCACAATACTGAATGTATGTATGTAGCTTTGGATAAAAGCGTCTAATAACAAATAACATGTAATGTTTTTTAAGGCATAAGTTAAAGTGTAGTTGAGTCTGTTTCTGTGTTTGCTGCTCACCCATGCAGTTCTTCCCGTCAGGAGTGAGCTCGAAGCCGGCATTGCAGATGCACTGGAAGCTTCCCTCGGTGTTCACACAGCGGCCATTACGACACATCACTCCGTTCACAATGCACTCATCAATATCTGCAGAGAGGAGGGGAGATGATCAGGGCTTAGTGTGTATTTTTAACCATCTGTCATTCAAAACATAACACATGTGTAAACCAGAAAACAAAATGCATGGGTTTAGTATTAGGAAATGTGTGGCAACGGCAACATTTTGCATAACTACAAAACATGTGTTCTGATTTGTCTAAAGGCCTGACATTTTGAACAGAAATATATTGTGCAAGTATCTTAAGATGCTACTTTTGACTATTTACAGAAAAATGTTTCAATATTTAGGGTCAAGGCTTTTGAAAGGAATTATACAAATGCCAAGCTTGTGTTTATTGAAAGACAAAATAAGCATATTTTTACAATGAAAATGTAAGCATATGTTTTATATCAAACTTAATATGACTCCCAGATACCAAATACTTAATTGTTTACTTTTTGGGGACAATGGGGCTGCTGTCCATGTGCCCAAAGACCAAATTCAGAATGACTTTTTGCCTTTCAGTCAAACTTTTTGATTGATTAGGACAATTTCTTCCGATGTTTGCTTACACAAGCCAAGAAAACACTATTACCAAAGGAAATTGGTTCTACAGAAACACCTTTATGTTACGGAAACACAGCAGAGGGAGACGTACCCATGCAGGCCTGTTTCGTGGGGGTTCCCTGGTAACCCTCATGGCACTTGCACTGGTATCCTCCAGGTGTGTTGACACAGTCTCCGTTGACACACGGATTACTCACACACTCATCCACATCTGGGGAGAAGAACAAAAAACAATGACTTATCTGGACGGAGAAAACCATGACTCATCTGGACTGGCAATGTGAAGAATTATAACCAGATAATAACAACTGTGGATAAAAAAAAAACAGCTGTACCATTTTCACATTTGGGAAAGTAACATTTTGCTTTATTAACTTTTCCAACCTATGCATTAACCTACACTTATATTTAGTTCCTTAAATGAGCAGAAGATGGCAGTGCAGCGCATGCTATTACCTGTCGATACTCTGTCTGCCTCAATATGGTTATTGAGAACTGACATTGCATATATAAGTATTCAGATGATTTACTTGGTACCAATACCACACTGTAAATACTCAATACAAGTTAAAGCACTGCATCGAGAATGGTACTTAAGTAAAAGTATTTAGGTACAATGAGGAAAGTGTACTCATTGCATAAGAAATTGAAAACATCTTTAACATTTAAGAAGCTGGAACGGTGGAACTTCTTTGCAAAATAGCTGCCAATACATTTTCTGTTAACCCAATGATGGTTTTTGGTGCTTAAAAATATAATGTTGGATGGTTTAATCCATACCAAATAATAATATTTTAAATGTTTTTCCTAAGTATTGTGTGTAAAGTTATTTATCAAGTAAATACATTTGTAAAATAAATGCAGTGGAGTCAATAGAAAAAACATTTGCTTCCAAAAGTACTATACAATGAAAATACTCGGGTAAAGAACAACTACCTCAAATACTTGAACAGTATTTGAGTAAATGTACTTAATTACTTTCCCTCCCTGATGAGCACTGATGCAGTATTTAAAAAGCGCTTAAAGCAACACTTAAGCGGATGAATGTACATGTTTTATGTTTTAATTGTCTTGGCCGCTGGTCTCAAGCGTACTATAGCTTATTGGGATTTCGCATTTCGTATTTAACTTGTGAATAAATGGAATGAGTTGGTGTGAGAGCATGCTTCTCACCGATACACTCCCCGCGGACGTCCTGTCTGTATCCCATGTTGCACTCGCAGCGGTAGCTCTGCAGGGTGGGGATGCAGCGTCCGTTCAGACACAGGTTGGTGAAATGTTTGCACACGTCGATGGATTCATTCACAGAAACCGAGCCTGAGAAAACACAACAAACAATAAAGAAAAACACTTACAACTGCAAAACACGCCCTTTCCTTCTTGTGAGTGTTCAGATCCACAGAGCTTCTCACCTATACGTTGGTGTCCTCCTCCGTTGCCTCCAAAGCTTCCTCCGTTGCCTCCAAAGCTTCCTCCGTTTCCTCCAAAGCTTCCTCCGTTGCCCCCGATGCCTCCGTTACCGTTACCGTTAGGAACTGCAGGATACTTGTAGCCATTGTAGTTGTAGCCATTGCCGTTTCCGTTTCCGTTGCCGTTGGGGAAGTGTGCGTTCGGATAGCCGTTAGGGAGGCCGTGTCCTTGGGCAACTCCAACGATACACAGACGCCTGAACTCGTCTACAAAACAGATCACAGGGTCAAGTCAGAGGATGCGTTACGGTACGAATAATTGGTTTCTGTGAGATGTAGCGGGGGGGAAACCGATTCACAACCAAGATCCAAGAGCATCTCTGGTAAAAAAGAGAACTGAAAAAAACTCTCATTCCCACTTCAATGTGGACAAACAGACTGTGTTTTAATACATATGCACACTTTCTTTTATTCATTAATATATTGATATATTGTTTTAATGTAACTTCATGTGAGTCCAGTTTTTGATTTGATACACTTTATTAATCCCCGTGGGGAAATTATTTCTCTGCATTTGACCCATCCTGTGTTAGGAGCAGTGGGCTGCCATTATGTACGGCGCCCGGGGAGCAGTGTAGGGAACGGTGCCTTGCTCAGGGACACCTCGGTAGCACTTGGTCTTTCCGGGACTTGAACTGGTGACCTTCCAGTTGCCAAGCCAAGTCCCTATCGACTTCGCCACCACCGCCCTAATGTGTTGTTTGTAAGCCCCCTTACCTGGGACAATGTTTAAGTACAGTAGAGGTACAAAAGTAATACATTGAGGACTGTAAATGTTTTGTTTTTAAAATATTTGTATTGATTCTTATATGTAATTCAGACTAGGGCTGAACGATTAATCGATTTTAAAACGAAATCGCGATTTTAAATGCAATTAAATGATGTATGATGAAATTATGCAATTCCATTTTTCTTCTTGTGTGTCAGTCATCCACACCAATCAGAAGTGCTGTGCTCCACATGACCAGCCATAACCAATCAGAAGTGGCCCATGATAGAAGGTGATAGACAGATTGATCCAATCACATGCCTGCCCTTTCCACATGGCTTCCAATGGAGCTTTCCTAGATGGTTTGGTGAAACAAACCGTCTGAGTCAGGTTAGTAATGCTCCATCACATGTTTGACATCTATTACAGGGAGAATCTTAAACTGAAGCTTGACTTTAAAGCAACCCAACGGAAGTCTCATGTAAGTTTAGTTCTTTCACTCGTAGCTCGGGCTGCGGGGGTGCTAGAGACGGGAGCACGTTGATACGACCTTCTTAGCCGGAGATATGGCCGCATTTTACAATAAACCGCCGTTGGGTCGCAATATCTGTCAGAAAAATCGCAATTAGATTAT